CTTCCTGTTTCCTCCCACTTTATATTCCTCTCTAGTGCTGGGATTAAAGTCAGACACCACCACCACCTCCTGGCCTCGTGTTTCTTTTACAATGTTTCCTGGCTGAGGTGTAGTTCTGTGACTGAATGCTTCCCTCGCATGTTCCAGGAATTGAATCTTAGCTGGGTAATTAACTGTAGTCTATGCACCACCACGTCTGGCCACTTCCTTTCCTTTTTAAATGCTCCAAGCCAAGTGAGAGCCGAGTCCTTCCTCAAGAATAAAGTGGAGAAGAGACAAGGGTAGACATCCAGTGCTGGTTTAGGCCCCACCCACTCAAATTCAAGTTCTTGTTTAGAAAAACTTGATGTGACTTCTGATTCCTGAAACTCCTTCCCAGTACCGCCCTTCTTTCCTGAGGGTAGCTATGTTGGTAAAGACTAGGTGACTGGTGCCTGGGACTTGCAGTATACTTAGGAGATAGTTGAGATTCTCAGCCGCTTTCTCCTGGGGCTCATGGCCAAGGTCATGTGTAGCCCTTACATAGAGGGACCTATCCAGTACCTCAGGCCCTCTTAGCTTTTCTTAGTTCATGTTTTCTCTCCCTCCCTCCTTTTTTCCCTCTTTTTCCATTTGATTTCTCTGTCTCTCTCTCTCTCTCTCTCTGTCTCTCTCTCTTTCTGTCTCTCTCTCTCTCTCTCTCTCTCTCTCTCTCTCTCTCTCTGTGTGTGTGTGTGTGTGTGTGTGTGTGTGTGTGTGTGTGTGTGTCTGCTACTCTTTTAGCAGTACTGTGAATTGGGTCCTTAGGATGGTCCAGCATGTAAAGGTACTGAAGACCTGAGTTCAATCTTTAGAACTCACGTGGTGGAACACGAGAACTGACCTCTGCACATTGTACCATGACACAGAATGATATTATATGTGGTTAATGTCTTTTAAAGAACAATACTTAGAAGATCTGGCATAGTGGCATGTTCCTTAATCTTAGTATTTGGGGCGTAGAAATAGATGGATCTCTGAGTTCTGTCTAGGTCAGCTACACCTAGTCTCAAGTAAAATAGTATTGAAGATTGAACCGAGGACTGGACTCATCGTTAAGCATGCTGGCTGTGTATTTATGACCATTTTGTTTTTGTTTGCCTGCACGTACATTTGTGTACCATTTGCCTACTTGGTACCCATGGATGCCAGAGATGTTGGATCCCCTGGAACTGGAATTAGAGATGATTGTGAGCCATCATGGGGGTGCTAGGAATTGAACTGCAGTCTGGAAGGGCAGCCAGTGCTCTTCACCACTGAGCCATCTCTCCAACCATAGAAATTAAGCTTTATTTATTCGGTTTGTCATTTTTGTGGTACTGGAGATGTTCAATAGTGACTTTGCACATGCCAGGCAAGAACTGTATCACTGAGCTATATCCTCAGGAAACTACTTTTAAAAATTTTTTGAGACAGGGTCATTGTCGCCCTGGCTGACCTAGAACTTGCTAAGTAGACCGGCTGGCCTTGAAGTCACAGAGATCCCCCTGACTTTGGATCCTGAGTGCTGAGGTTAAAGGTGTACACCACCAAGCCCAGCATTTATGAGCATTTTAAATCGAATTAATTGGAGTTCTGTACTCCAGGACAATATGTGGACTCCATGCTCCTGCCCAACCTGCTGCTTCCTGCACCCTGAAGCAGAGGAATAGCTTTCAGAGTGTACTGGGTGTTGTTCCCATGAGGGTCACCCCACAACAGGCTGGCCCAGTGGCGAGTTCCTGTCTCCTTCCGCCTTATATTCCTCTCTAGTGCTGAGATTAAAGGTGTGCCCCCCACCACCACCTGGTCTCTGGCTAACCACTGTTGCTGCTGGGTTTAGAGGTGTATTCAACCACTGTCTGGCCTTTATGACTGACTAGTGTTGCTGCTTTTTACTGACCTTAGGCAAGCTTTATTTATTAAAATACAAATAATATACCACTATACCCCTCAGGATCATTCTGCCAATGTCTAGATACTGTGACTCACTCAGATAAGTTGACATGAATGACTGCCTGCTGCCTCCACTGGAAGTTTAGCATTTAAAACAGTCAGAACCGGGTTGCTCTCGCACCCTTTTAATCCTGGCACTCTGGGGCCAGAGGGAGGTGGATCTTACAAGTTCCGGGCCAGCCAAAGTTATATAGTGAGACTATCACACAAGAAAAGAAGAAGGGGGATGGAAGAGCTATGGGTGTCTCCTGGATGTGTCCCCCCCCTTCCAGAAGACAGTTTTTGTATGTGGCAGGTAGGGTGCACATGAAGGTCAGAGGGCAACTTGTGGGAGTCAGTTTTCTCCTTCCATCATGTGTGTTCTGAGTGTGGAACTCAAGTTCTCAGGCTTGGTGGCAAGCTCTAAGTTACTTTACTAGCATAAGCATGTCTTCTTTATAGGCAGATGCTTTAGGTAATGACTTGAACAGGTGAGAAATGGCTGTCTTTCGAACCAGAATAGCCTAATTTCCTCCTTGGAGGGAACAACTCTCTGGCCTTCGGGTGAACAGAAGCCACCCTGTCTTGATAACACTGAGCTCTTGAGTAGCTACAGAAGTCATCCTTGTTGATGGACATGCCCACTAGCCAGGCTTTGACTGCAGCTTTCCTGATTTCCTCTGCTTAGGATTCTCTGCCTTTGGGTTCTGTGAAAGCTTAGCTCAGGAGATTTGGAGTGCCAGGGTGGGTTGTGGTCGAGGGTTTAGGCAGTAGTGTGGGTTCTGATGCACTGTCTCTCTTCAGCAGTGGCGAGTCCTCTCCATATGCTGGCAACCCACGCGTCAGCATCGGCGTCCCTGCCCACAAAGCGCCAGAACGGTGACCAGGCAGAGCAGCCGGAGCTCAAGCGAATTAAAGCAGAAGATGGCGAGAGCATTGTCATTGCCCTGAGCGTAGATGCGCCACCGGCAGCTATGAGAGAAAAGGGGATCCAGAACTAGCTGCTGGGAGACCTCTTCAGACATCAATTTGTGGTGCCAAAAGGAGATGCTGCCTCTTCCTGAAGCAGGGAGCGCATCCTCAGTGGGTAAAGGGCCCTGCGGTTGGACTTCACCTCTTAGCACTGAAAACATGAACCCAGGTGGCCTTAAAACTCCCTAATTTAAAGACAAGTTAGACTTGAACAGACCCACAACAGCAACCCTGGTTCCAGAGGTGGTGTCTCCTACAGAGCACTCGCTGGGCTGTCATCTGTGGGCTCAGCTTTTACTACAAGCAAGAACTCTGAGTCTCTTGTGCAGATGCAGCACCGCTGCAAGTGGATCTCTCTGGCTTTCCTCTAGGGGACAGAGCCATAGCCACCTGCTGCCCTCATAGGACTGCTGGTTGCGGCTGAGAGACAAGACAGTATTTTGTTGTCTACATGTGGAATTAGAATACTTGGAGATGTCCTTTCTTTACTAAATAACGGGGTCTTTGACATTTCATATCACTCCATTTCTACTCTGGAAATTTGAGATTCATTTGGGGGAAAGAATGTCATTCTGTTTGTTTCTGTGGTTTGTTTTCAGCCCATGGGATGATTTGCTCTGGTCTGTCCTGCCTGTTTGGGTGGCACTTCTTTAGGATACCTACTTGCCCATTTCCGTTCAGAGCAGTTACCTGATGAATTTGACGTACCCTGTGCCATTGTAGAGGGTGGGTGGACTGAGGCTGCATGGACCCATAAGGCCGGGGCATTGGGACAAGGGACCCCGGGAGCCTTCTAGCCTCCGGGCTGCACGTACCTGTTCTTGCGCGTTTTGTTGTCTGTTTCTTTATGTTGACTTTGTCCTTGGCGTAGTTTCCCACTCTAGTAAATGAGTCTCCTACATATTGTGTATGCTTAAAGCAGCAGACCCCCTCCCCCCCTTGGGAAACAGACCCAGCTTTTGTTACACCTCCCTTTTCAGACCGAAGAACCCTGCTGGGAGTCATAGGGGTCCGCTCTGGCTTCTGGCACCTGACTGGTTACCTGCATGGTGAGAGCTCTTGGAGAGATTGAGGGTCTTGGAAGTAAGACCCAGTGGCCAGGTTCTCAAGAATCCAGGCCATTTTCTGATTCTCTAGAGGTTTCTCTGGCTTTTCAGAATGAAGTCCCACACTAAGTCTGACTTACGTCCTATATAAGTAAAATTTAAGAGGGAAGGGTGAGGAGAGGTGGGAGGCCAGCAGCCCAGCCCACACTCAGGATCACCGCTCATCTTTCCGGAGCATCCTGGACTTAGAGCTGAGCAGCAGGCAGAGGGACTTAGCCTCATTGTGGGTTGGTTTTTTTTTTTTTTAATGTCATCATCATAACGTTATTTATTTAAATGTAGTTATTTTGGTATTTAATTTTTTTTAAGAGAAGGGGGGAAAACCCTGTATTTTCCTGGTAGAATGAAATGGCTCAGAATGGTATATTTAGGCAATTTAAAACATTATTTACATAAAGACCAAATATGATAAGTCTGTTCTAAGTATTGCTTCACCCACAATATGGAGCTGTCACAATGTTACTGCAGATGATGTGTGTTGACGTTCTGGAGTTACTGCACACAAGCTGGATTTATATAACTCAGCCACTTAAAACAATAAAGATGAGACATCATGTGAGTGAGAACACGTGTGTGCCACAGCAGTCTGCCTTTGGACTGCAGCCTGGGGGACTGGAGCCCCTCCAAGCTGCAGTCTGCCTCCTCCATCTTGCAGGTAACCTTGAAATGTGTATTTCTTAAAGGTTTGCAGTTTGCAAAGCACTTTGGGTTCTGTTGTGCCCAGCGGGCCTCAGTTAATGTGGTGCGCTAGCAGGAGGCCACCCTAGAGAGGTGGGTTCGGGCACCACCAGCTAAACATACTGTGTGTCTGGAGACATCTTTGTGTAGCATGCTTGACTAGATGGGTAGATGTTCCCTGCGTGAGTCAAGTCTGCAGACTCGTTACCTCTGAGCTCCAGACAGACCTTAGGAGTCTACAGGGGTTTCTTTTGGGGGATCATAGAAAAATTTTGAAGATGGAAGGAGGATTTTTTTTTTTTTAATTGAAGGCCACATTTTCAATCTCAAGTGAGTGAAGTGTCCTGTGCAGCCACAGGCACACACTCACCTCTTCTCCTTGCTGCTGCTTTGGTACATAGGAATGTAAAGCTGAAAGGAGCGGGCAGAAGCTAAGCCGTAGGCTAACAGTACTGAACCCAGGTTTCTTTGCCGGTGTTGCAGGCTCTGCTTTAGTCTATGTTCCTCTGAGTCCCCAGAAGCCGCTCCACACACCATGGCTGGGCTCGTGTGCTGTCTGATGTGGGGCGAGGACCATGACCCCGACACCACAAGTAGCTTGCAGCAGTTCCCAGGGCCACTGTGGCACCTCAGTGTTGAATGCTTAAGGAGTCTCTCTTCGACCTTTACCAAACTTCTGAGCTCCCTCAGGGACTAGATAACTTGAGTAGCTTTGGCTTGAACCACACAGAACACAAAGAGAAACTTTCCTGTGTCCTGGGTACAGTGCATTCCAGAATGTGTGTGGCATACTTTGTATAGATATTCTCCACACTGCAGAATGTGTTAACAGACAGCAGCTGGTCTCCATAAATACCCCACCTCACCTCCGTGTCCTCTGTGGGGGGTGGCTGGTCACAGAGTAGCTGAAGTAGTTCAGAAGGGGCTGGGGAGTATCAGGACTTGGGTTTTCTACGCTGTGTGACACAAGGAGAGAAGTGACAATCGTGAAGTCCGCGCATCTGCTGTTCTAGAGTAAGCAGAGTGGTGATCTGTGTGCAAAGATTTGGAATTTTTAAAAAAAAGTACCAAGTTCCTGAAATTCAATAAAATATTTTTATTAATTTTAACTGAATACAGAGTATCATTGTCTTTTGATAAGCAGCTACGTCTGTGCTGGGAGACTTTCCCAGGAACACAGGTGGGTAGCAGCACAGGCGCAGTAGCTACAGCTGTACAGGCAGCTGCGTGCCATCCAGGGTTGGAGTTCAATTATTTTAGAGTTTAAGTTGTCCATGTGCACCCCAACCCCAATGCTTGCCCTCTGACCTAAGAATCAAGGTCACCGAAAGCAAGAGATAGCAAAACAAAATGTTTGCCAAAAAGGTATACAGGTGTTGAGGTTCCCAGGTGATGACAGCGGCCTCCCAGCTGCTGTCCCAGGGCGGAATATATGGAAAGTATATGTTGCAGATTTATGGTCAAAGCCAGGAGAACACGTGACGCAGTGGCAGCCCAAATGTGGGGAGCATCCTGAGAAAGTGCTCCCATGTAGACAACAGTAGACACCCATAGTGCTCTGGCAAGCAGGAGGTGGCATTGGGAGCACTGAATATTTAGAAGGACCTTGGCAAGGAATTGGGAGGGTCGATTAGTAAAATATTTGCCTTGCATGTACAAGTCTGGATTTGGTCCCTAGAACTTCATACATAGATGTGATAATCCTGTAATCCTATCCCTCAGAAGATAGAGGCAGGGGAATGAGAAACTCAAGGTCACCCTTGAGTACACAGCAGTGTCTGAAGCCAGTCTGGGCTACAGGAGATCTGCTCAAGGGGGAGAGGGGAAGGCCAAAACCTGAACCTTTTAACACACAGCAGAAACAGGGTGCCTGGGATACCAGCATGCAGAGGGAATTAGAAATTCCCCACACTACTGCACCTCACGTCTATCTGCAGCCATCATGGCGAGGCTGACCAGAAGGGTCTGTGAATTGTCCAAGCAGTACATGCAGGGTGGACCTGAGCAGCCCAGAGCAGGCTGGGAGAATGCTTAATTGTGGATATGAAGTCAGCCCAGCAGTGGTTGCTAAGGTAAAACACCATATTCCAAAGAGTAAGCAAGTGGCCAAAGAAAGCTCAACCTAAAGAGGACTCAACTCCAATGTGACCTAAGTGTAAATAAAAACAGATTACCATTAGAGAAGAATTAGCCATGCTTCCTAAAATAAAGCAAATGCTCTTGAAATAAATCAAAGATTATAGAGCTTGGGCATCATAAATGTTTCAGTAGATAGAGCATTTGGAAATGAAAATAAGCTTCAGGGACATATATTCCCCTGAGTTCCCAGCAAAAGATGGACTTGGCTTTCAAAAAAATAAACAAGCCAGGTGGTGGTTCACACCTTTAGTCCCAGCACTCAGGAGGCAGAGGTAGGCAGATCTCTGTGAGTTCAAGGCCAGCCTGGTCTACAGAGCAAGTTTCAGGACAGCCAGGGTGGTTAACCATAGAAACCCTGTCTCAAAAAACCAAAAGAAAAGGAACTGGATGTGCTAATGTCCATGAGTAGAGACTACTGAGTTTAGATACACATAAAACCACAGTTAAGATAATCTTTAAGTCATGGATGGGGACTATAGTCATTGTGAGTCAGAGAGACTATGGTCATCTTAGGTTCGTAGACGGACACTAAGCACAACTAGGTAATTTAAAGGGCTAAGGAACACTATTGATCAGAAACTAAACAAGCTGAACAAAATGCTCTTAGAAAGTACAGAAAGAACTAGGTAACCAGTGGAGCTACTACTTCAAGTACTAAGGAAGTCCTTGTGTTTTCATTTAACTAACTGATAACAAGGTGAGAATTTTAAACCTCCAGGAATCAAGAAAAAGTTAAAAAAATTAGAGATATTTAAGCAAGTAACTTGCATTTTAAAAATGTGATCCTTTTAATTTGCCTGTATTAAAATCATTCAAAACAAAACTTAATTGCTACTGCTTAATTAGAACATTTATGTTGATAAAGTTATGAAGGAAGCAGAGATTTGACGTGGTAAAACTCGTACTAGCAAAGTTAGTTTCACAGCCTAAGTGTAACTCAGTTTCCTTCTATGCTACCAGATCCCACCACAGCGTGAGCTCAGTGACTTTAACAGAATCCGTAATATTCACAATGGGCCATCTGCAGTGTCTAAGATCTAACATGGATGCCAGTAAGACAGCAAATGTGTGCCTCCCTCAGAGCAAAGGAGAACCAGCTGGATTTACTCTAAGCTTTAGACATGGAAACCAGCAGGTAACGGCTTTATTTCTAGTAATATGAATTAGGACAAGATATAAAGAAACATACTCAAATGAATGAGCAAATTGAACTTTTTAATCAAGAACTAGAAACTAACTTTGGAACTGATAAATCCACCTGAAGTTAAAAAATATATGTCACAAGTCAGATAGCCCTGTAATCCTAGGACATAGGTAACCGGCAGGATTCCAAGTTCAAGGCTAGCCTGGATTGTTCAGTGAGTTTTGATGGGACCCAGGCCACAGCAAAACTTTGAATTAACAAGAAAAAAAAGGCGCAACCTGTGCTTGGACAGGATGGGTAAGACAATGACTGAACCACACTAGTGACATCATTGAGACAGTGACCAATAGAAAGTACCATTCCAGCACTTGGGAGGCAGAGGCAGATGGATCTCTGAGTTTGAGGCCAGCCTGGTCTACAGAGCAAGTTCCAGGACAGCCAGGGCTACACACAGAAACCCTGTCTCGAAAAACCAAATTTAAAAAAAATAATTGCTACAGATGAAAATAATTTGAGAATGCGTTAAGGTCAGCAGTTGTTTCTGTAGTATGTTAAGGAATGGGGTGAAAAAGGGCAAGTTTTTATTTTATTTATTTATTTCTAAGACGGTATTTTCTGTGTAGCTTTTGGAGCCTGTCCCGGAACTTGCTTTGTAGACCAGGCTGGCCTCGTACTCAAGAGATCTGGGATAAAGACCTGCGCCACCACTACCCCGCTATTAATATTTTTTTACTTTTTTGAGACAGAGTCTTGTAGCCTACGCTGCCTTGAACTTCTGATTCTTTTACTTCCCCAAGACCACAGGTGTGTAATATGCCTGTAATCCGGGGTACCACCAAACCATTTATGCAGCAGTGGGACCAGATACTCAGTGACTTGTGTGCTGTGTGCCAACCACTCACTCAACCAACTGAGCTACATCTCTAGCTCCAAACGAGAACTTAAGAGTTAGGAAGTAAGGCCAGGGGTAGTGCATTTCTGTGTACTCAGTAATCTGAAAACTGAGGCAGGACTGCTCTCAAAGTTCAAAGCCAATTTGATCTGGAGAACAATAAATCTGGGGACAAGGGTGGAAGGAAAGTGGGTGTGGTGGTGTCTGCCTGTAATTCCAGTGCAAGCTGCAGGAGAGTCTGGAATTCAAGGTCATCCTCTGCTCTACAAGGTCACCCTCTGGGCTACAAGAGACAAACAATAAACCAGAGCCATAAAAAACGAAAAGCTGTACAGTTAGGAAAAGACACCCAAATGTATTTAACACAAAGCAGAATGTAACAAAGAGATTTAGTGCAAAGTCTTATAAAACTGGCCCAGATGGCAGCACACACTTCTAAGAGAAAAGCAGTTAGGGCTTGGCTCATGTGCTGCCACTTGCCTGACATGCAAAAGACCAGGAACACAAAAGAAAAATGCACAGATGACTATCATCCATGTTCAGACAATCCAACCTTTCTACATGTGAAGGTCTTGTTCTTCAAAGTCTTGAAATGGGCAGTGTTGAGGGCAGAGCTTGTGTTCCCAGGAGAGGTAAGGGGGCGGGGGGAATATTGGTTGAGGCTGGAAACATAACAAGACTATTTCAATAAATTTGAAAAAAAAATGTGCCCAGCCTGGTCATAGTGTTGAGGTTTAGAAACAAGTGAATGAGCATCAAAGCTGAGCACTCTGGAGCCCTCTGTGGCATACACACCTTTAATCCTGCTAATCCCAACATTACAGAGGCTGAGGCACACGGTTCTGAGTTGGATGCTGGCCTCATCTACACAGCAAGTTCCAGGACAAACTGTCTCAAATAAACAAGAATTGAAAACCTTCAGACCCAACAATTATAGCTCCTTGATTACAAAAGACATAGCCAAGCTCGCAAATCTTTGTGCACAATTATTTCCATTTTAGCACTGGTTGTGCTAGCAAAAAGTGCAAGTATTTTTGGGCAATCACGGTATTTCTACTATTATTTTTTTAAAACAGTACAATGTGGAGGCTCTAGGAATTCAAGGCCACCTTCAGGCACATACGAGTTTAAGCCCAGCCTGGGCTACACAAGACCCCGTTCTCAAAACACCAACTAACTAAAGAAACATTTTAGAAAACTTAAAAATTAGCACCTAAGGCTAGGCATGGTGGCCAGCCTGGTCTACAAAGTGAGTTCCAGGTCAGCTAGAACTGTTAAATAGAGAAACCCTGTCACAAAAACAATGAAAATCAGTACCTTAATGCTGTTTGAAATTAAAATTCCTTCATCAAGGCCTTGTATCTTTTTTGGTGGTAGAAGTGTGGGACAGTTCTATAACACTATTTCTCTGTATGTCCCTCTCTCGTTCTTAAGAACTACTATGGCCAAGCATGGTGGTGCATGCCTTTAATCCCAGCACTTGGAAGAAGCAGGTGGATCTCTTGAGTTTAAAGCTAGCCTGGTCTAAATAGGGAGTTCCAGGACAGCCAGAGGCTACACAGAGAAACCCTGTTTTTAAAAAACGAAACAACAAAAAAGAACTACATAAATTTTATTTTCAAAATGTGAATGTCAACCAAACGCCTCTATCGGCCAACTGAGGGGAGGTTATACATCATAACTATGACCACCAGGCTATAGACAGACCATGCTTGCACCCAGAGGCATGGTCTGCCTGAAGAAAGAAAACATTAAACAAAGACTTGGTCCCATAGTGATGTTGGCCAAAAGGGCAGGAGGAACGGCCAGGGGTCCACCCAGGGTCACTGTCATACATGGTCCACTCAACCATGTGAGCCTGTGGTTTTTGAGAAAGGCAAATGCTGGTGCAGGACCTGGCAGCTCTCGTGCGGCGCCATTTAGCTTGCTGAGAAGAGTGGGCAAGGCAGAAACAGAGTGCTGTTTCCCATATCCATGTCCGGGAGGACTTCGGATGCTAAGACCACACGTTGGAAAAACAGCCCATCAGGAGCTCTGGAATCCCTGTAAGTGCCAGCATTCAGATATCCCCTCTTGGGTCAAGGCCCACCTTCCACTGGGTGTTTGAAAACACTGTCTGCTGATGCCTGTAAACCTATAGAACTTTGCATGGTCCACCAATTCTATCATTACCCAGAGACAAGCACAAATCTGAGGAGCAGGCAGTGCTAAGAGTTTTCTCCTAACCCTTGCTCTGCCACTCAAAGGGGGCCCACGTGTGCTCACTGTCCCTTGCAGGGTATGCCAAGGATGGTGTGGGCTGGGAAGTTGACTAGGGAGGTCACTAACAAGGAGACTTTGTCCAATGTCATACAGCCTCAGCCTGATTAGATGCCAGGCCCTCTTGTGCCACCCCATTCATGTATCATGCCAATCCCATGGTGCTGGAGCACAACACTGCCTCAAATCCTGGTGTATCATCGTCCGTCACCTGTTTGCCTCCCTAGTTCTGAAGCACAAATTCACACTACGGGAAGACCCACACCTCAGGACCACTGCGAATTGGAAACATTACAAAAATATTACATAAACCAGTCTGACACCAGCCAAAGTGTATAGATGACTGTTGCCTCACAGTACCGTCTCGAAGGGCAGCATGCTGACACCTCTGAAACCAGGAAGCCGACACTGGTAGAGCAGGGAGCAGTGACACCAAAAAAATTTTTATGAGGTGTTCCATCTGCACCCGCTCTCTGGCTGCCCTAGACCATACAAACTCCATTTCTCTCTTCAGTGGCTGTGCGGGTGAGGTACCCATGTAACAGGGCACTCTACTCCCAGCTCAACAGCCTACAGGTCTGTCCTACAGCAGCTGCAGGACCCCCAATCCCATTATATGCTCAGGATGAGAACATCTGGCTTCATTACACATGGCTCTGCTCTTTACAGATAGAGTACAACAAAATTAGTCACTTTTATTTCAAAGAAACAGTACAAACAAGTGTGCAAAATTAAGTTTCATGATTAAATACACATAAAGTAACATGCATACTTGACATCAAATCCACAGTTAGCCGATTACAGGAATATGAAGGAACTGGCAGAACTGAGAACCTGCTGCTGGGCACAATTTAAATGTTTGCAACCTGAAATCAAAACCGCAAAACCGAGCTTCTTAGAAGATATGTAAAAAACTAAACATACACCTCAAGTGGCACAGAAACACGGAGCCTGCAGCCTGTGTCAGTACCAGGATGTGCCTGCCATCCCCAATGCTAGTGTGTGTTCCTGTGGGTGTTGGGAGAGATGAGACAGGGTAGACGCCACAGGCAAAGCCAATTCCCTTCACACAACTGGTAGCTACAGGCACATGGACATTGCACTGAGAAGGCCCCTAAGTTAAGTAATGCTTTCTTCTGGGAGTGATTCTTAAAGTCTATGTGTTACTTTGTTCCCTAAAGGTAATGGGAAGTTCTGTCTTAACCCAAACTAAACCAGGAGACCCCGCCTCCCTTGCATCCTGAGGACTGTGCCTCAAGTGGGTGCCACCAGCATTCTGTTCTCTGGCAGGTCTGGGATGTAATTCATTCTAAAGGCCCAATAAGGTGAGAACCCCAAGTATGTGCTCTGAACAGTGCTCCTCACGTGTGGCAGAGGGTTCTCTACCCTACTGGAATGATTTAGGATGTGAGCCTGACACACTCATTCCTACAAGCTTCCACTGACTCGTGCTTGGATAGTCCGCAGGGACTGCAGGGAGCCTGCTGGCATGAAGGTATGGTGGTGTCACTAATGCTAACATCACAGTTGAACTAAAGGGTGGTGGCCAGCAAGAGCCCGAGATGCTCAGAGCCAGAGTGTCTGCAGAACCATGAGGATGATTCCTTTTGATATGGGAATGAGAAGCCTTGTTCAGGAAGGCAGACAACCACGTATGGCTTCGAGACCAAGGTCCTCGAAGAGGGTCCTTGAGCCCCTCACCCACAGGCCTGGGGCACTGGCACCAGCCCCAAGAATCCACAGGGCGCTGGGTGGTGGCATCAGCTGCACTCACAGGCAGAGTCACAGCTTGTCATCGGTCATCTCCAGGAACTGTGCACACACATCCCGGACACACTCGCCCTTGGGACTGAACAGGAACTTGTAGTAGCTGCCGTCCGCACAGATAGCTGGGAGAGGAGACCACATCAATACATGAGCAGTTACAGCCCACCAGGGTACATGCTCATCTAATGAGGACTGGCAAAAGTCATCTGCACAATGCCCAGATCTACCATCAAAGCATTCCTGGGAAAATGGAAGGGTACTAATAGCATCCTAAATGCTGAAGGCTTTGAGTAGGCCCCACCCCAGCCACAGGACTTGGTGCAGTCTGGACCACATGCAGAGGCCTCCCACACAGGATGAACTACTTACCAATGACTGCATTGGGCTCTGTTCCAAAGGCACAGATGCATGGGGAGCCTGATGGAACCTGAAACTTGGAGAAGCTCCACTTGGAGCTGAAGTATTTTGGAAGGAAACTGGCTGATGCCAAACTGTAAGCACAAGAAGAAAAGAGAGGCTTTACATTCACACAGACAGTGACAGAAGTGTAACTGGCTTGATAGCAGAGCACTGCTGAAAATTCTGAAATTCTTTTACAGTTTAGGCTGTTCTTTTTATTATTATTATTGTTTTGCTTTTCGAGGCAGGGTTTCTCTGTGTACAGTCCTGGCTGTCTTGGAACTCGCTCTGTAGACCAGGCTGGTCTTGAACTCATAAAGGTTCACCTGCCTCTGCCTTCCTGGGACTGGAGTTACAGACAGTTGTAAGCTGCCATGTGGGTACTGAGATTGAACCAGAGCCACCTGGAAGAGTGGTCAGTGCTCTTAAGTGATGAGTCACCTCTCCAGCCCTGGACTGAGTGATCTCATTTCTTACATAAAAAGTCATGGTTCTGTAATAAGACAGCATGGCTCTCGGCACAGGAAGGGGCGCAGGCTCTCTTGCCATCAGATTAACCCTCGAAGAGCATGGCAACATTCAGGAACCAAGCCCGGAACCAAGTGTCAAAGAACCTGACAGTAATGGGGTCTTGGAAGTGGAACAGTAGGTACAGGATCAATCTACATTCACTTTCAAATCCCACAAACATCAAATTAATGAGATATGAAAGAGCTCAACCTAACTGACATCAGATTTGCCCTTAAAGGAAACAGGGAATTCTCTAACTTTGGGCTCTTCCTTATCACAATACTCTTAAAACCCACCTAGACTGTTTATTCCTTTTTGGATCTTCAGCTGCAAAAATGTGCACAGTGCCGTGATCACTGGACACACAGATGAGAGAAGCGTCCTGATTGAAGTTGATGCTGCAGAGAAACCAGACAGGGCTTGGGTCTGTGCGGATACAGAGAACCAGAGAGATCCAACTCCCTTGTCGTCAACACACACAACGCACTAACTAGCCCACATCCCGGGTCTCAGCACTGCCGTAACAAAAGCATCCACCATGGAACCAGGATCCAGGGAACACTCTCTGTTCATCAGTCCCTGTAGGCACCACTGCTGATGCCTGTGTGTCAGTGAAGGGAATGGGGTTTCCTGAGAGGACCTCCATGCCAGTTTCAGGAGGTTCAGGTGAGAAAGGCATACCCTGCCCCGAGGAGGTGGCTCCCAAGTGTGTCATAGCAGGCAATGGCCACATGTATTCTGTATTGACAGCAGACATGTAGGGAGTGTGCCTAGGGCCAGGGCACACAGGTTAAACTCCCAATCTCAATACCCTCAGGCCAGAAGTGGCTGGGGTAGTGGCAGGCTCTCGCTGTAGCCATGGTATGAAATCCTGCCTGGCTGGGCTTTAGCACTACATACATTGTGGGTCCTTACAGGTGAAGTGTTCACTCTCAAAACAAAACGAACTGGCTACAATAATTACAGACAAACCAGCAAGGCCTCTACCATGAAAGGGGAAGTAAGTACCACAGGGAAGTGAGCTGGAATAGAGGGAGATGGGAAGAATCTGGCAAACATATCCATGTTGCCACAGGAGAGGGAAGGCCCACAATGTCCCAATCTTTGTGGTTACTTACCATAATAAGAAGTAAAATCAGTAATAAGAGCTGAAACCCAATAACCTAACAGCTCAGCCACACCCTCCCACCTGTGCCACCCACCCTGGTTCTAGTACTCCCAGGGTGAAGTCCTTACCAATAGATATTAGCTGCTTGAGATCCTCTTCGTAGCTCCTGGATTAAATGCCCTGATGAAGTATCAAATATTCTTATAAGGGTCCCCTTTGAAAAACAGTGAAGTGTTTCATTATCAACAATTTGTAACTCTTTCATCAGTCTGAAACGATTTACATAAAGACCCATTGGCCCCGATAGCCCTTTCTCAACTCGCCCACAGCACCTAGAATCCAGCATGTCTCTTGTCTGCTAGCTCAGGCACAGTGCAGGAGGGGCCACAAGACCATCTCCTGTCTGCTGCAGGTCCTCACTCGGAGACCTGCTGCCTACTAGAGCAAGGTCATCTCCACAGGCATCAGGCCCTCTTCCTCTCAGGAAATGAGGCAGCGCTGAATCAAAGGAGAACTTCCACATCAACTGCACCAACCTCCCTGAGCAAGAACTGTGCTCAAAAGACTCAAAACTTTAAAAAAAAAAAAAAGTTTCCTTAAAAATGAAACATAAAAACAATTTTTGTGGAGGATGACCTGGCAGCCTCTGGCGATGCCGCAGGGAGAGCTGGCAGGGAAACCAACACAAAGTGTCCCAAACAAACCTGAAATGCGCTGGAGCCACCTAACCAACCACACACTGCTCAGGCCTATCAATGGCAAGGCTGTAAGAACCCAGCCTAACAAGATGAAGTTCAAGTAAATTCTAGAGAAGAAAACATTAATTATTGCAGAATCCAGTGTTCTAATAGTATTCATTAAAAATAAACTTGCTAAAACAAACACTTGGAAGGCAGAGGCAAACATATATATAAAACTCTCATGTATTTACTGAATACTCCGATTTTTTGAGACAAGGTTTCTCTGTGTAATAGTTCTGGCTGTCCCGGAACTTGCTTTGTAGACCAGGCTGGCCTCCAACTCATAGACACCCACCTGCCTCTGCCTCTCAAGTGCTAGGATTAAAGGTGTGCGCTATCACTATTTACTGTAGTAGTACTTACTACAGTGAGCTGTACTTACTGAATATCTGTATCCATAAAAAGGTTGGAGCTGGGCATTGTGGCATAGAAGACATCAAGTTCATAGCTTGCCAGGGTTACACTTAGTAAGGCTCTCAAAATAAAAATAAAACAAAACACTCCCCCAAACTACTGAGTTCCAGTTAAGTCTAGGCTACATAGTGAGTTCCAGGAAAGTGTGGAATACACAGAGACACCTTGTCTTAACAAAAGAAACATTGGCAGCATGGTTTAGTGTGGAATATCGGTTGTTATTCCTGGCAGGTGGCTGTGCCTTTCTGCTGTCTGTCATCCACCAATACAAGAAAGATACCATATTACGTAAATTAGGAGGCAGAGGCAGGCAGATCTCTGTGAGTTCAAGGTCAGCCTGGTCTACAGAGAGAGTTCCAGAATAGCCAGGGATACACAGAAAAGCTGTTTTAAGAAAACAAACAAACAAAAAAACTGTCTCAAAAAAAAAAATCAAAACAAAGCAAACAAGCAAGCAAATAAATAATTAAACCAAATTTCTGCTGGATTTGAGGCACGCACCTTTAATCCCAGCACTTGAGAGGCGGAGGCAGGAAGATTTCTATGAGTTTGAGGTCAGCCTGGTCTACAGAATGAGTTCCAGGACACTCAGGGCTGTTACACAAGGGAAACCCTGGCTCAAAACAAAAATAAAAGGGAGGGAGGGAGGGACAGAGGGAGGGAAGGAGAAAAGAAAATACCAAAATTCAAAGTCAAGTTTGTAATGAATGTGTGGTTTTACTGTCACTCACTATAGAGCTGATAAAAAATTCAAGTCAAATCATCATAAGCTGACTATGGGTTCAGCCCAGTGTGTGCATAAAGCCTGAGTTTTATCTAAGCCTCACTGGTAAATATACAAAGTACTGCTGAGCTGAGAAAACAAAAAAGAACACATCTGTCCCACATTTCTAATGGGATTCTGATGTGTGTGTATTCAGCTATGTGAGGGTGTCCACAACTATACATACGCAATTAGAGGCCAAAGGTAAATGTTAGGTACCTTTCTCTATCGCCCTCAACCTTATTTTTTGACCCAGATTTTCTCACTGTCTCAGCTACAGTGACTGGCTGGCAGCCCCAACAAGGGGCTGGGGAGGGAGTTCATGGTGAAGCACTTACTGTGCAAGTACCAGGACCGTACAAAAACCATTTTAAAAAAGTCAGGCATGGCGCACATCTGTAACCTCAGCGCCAGGGATGTGGAGACAGCGGGATCACTAGTGTTCACTGGTTGGTCAGGCCAATAACAGACCATCTCAAAAACAATGGTCATGTGAAGAACACCTGCAGTTGCCCTCCAGTCTCCACACACGCATGTGAACACCATCACCTGCATACACGTAATTTAGGTGTAGGAAGTTAAAAACGGAGAATCTAAGGGTAAAAGAATTTTTAAAAAATCCTTTGCCAGATAAGCCCATCCTACCGACATCAGTTTCTATTTATTTTGTTTGTTTGTTTGTTTTTGAAGACAGTATCTTATACATACCAGACTGGCTAAGAATTGATTCTTTTATCCCTACCGCCTAAGAACTGGTAACAGGTATGCATCATTATGGCCCACCGCTTTTTGTTCTGAGACAGGGTCTCACTATGTAGTTCTCACTGGTTAGCCTGGAACTCACTACATGGACCAGACTAGCCTTAAACTCACAGAGATTCACCAAGTGCTGAGATTAAGGCACATGCCACCACTATACCAGGCTAGTCTGGAACTTCTAAAGAGCCTCTGCCTCCCAGTGGTGGGACTAAAGGTGTGCATCACCATGGTTAGTGTAGTTCTGGAGGGCATATTCAGGAATTTGTATATAGTTAGGTAAACATTCTAATCAACTGAAGCTATATTCCCAGCTGAGAAAATCCTATTTCTAAATTTATAAAAACTGTCCTTGTCTAGTCAGCCGTAATCCCAGCACTTAAGAGGCTGAGGCAGATACCTAGGCCTCCTGGTAACCAGGACAGGAAGAAGTAGACTTACTAACTCTCTGCTGTATGTCCACAGATACACTGACCACTGCTGTCTGTTAGCAATAGCTCAGGCAACAACTAGGCAGGGTAGAGTCTAACTGTGACCTGTTCTCCCAGTAGGCTGAATCCACTGATAGATACACCACTGGCTTGTCAGTTCACTCTAATTAATAATTTCCTACAAGGTGATATTGGGCTTACTGTCCTAAGTGGAAACCATAGTTAAAAAAAAATACTAATTTTCAGAAGCTTATGCAGTGGTCAGCAGATAAACGTACTTGTAGCACAAACTTGGCAACCAGAGTTCAATGCCTGGAACCCACACAAATACAGAAAGAAAACCAATTCTACAAAGCTACCCTCCATCCCTCAAGCTCCCCCCCAAATAATCTAAAAATAGGTATAGATTTTTGGTTTTCACTTCAGACAAAAATAAAGGACAACATGGATATGGGGGTTTGAGTGAGCAACGTTCCCCTACAGGTTCAAAGGTATTAACGCTTAGCCCCAGTAGTTGTTACTGCTTGCGGAGATTAGCTGGAGGAAGTACAGCATTGGGGTAGGCTTTGAAAACCCACTGCTCAACCCATGTGCAGTCTGACCTCTCTGCTTCCTGGTCTAGCTGTCTGTTTCCATGTTTCATCTGTTGTTATGGATTCTCCCTCTGAAAGTCAAAATAAACCCTCCATGGCTGCTGTTGGTCGTGGTGCTTTATCACAGCACAGAAAGGAACCAATACAGTGGTCAATATGCCAAAGTTTCAATCTGTGGTCAAATCAATGAGGAAATATCCTTAGGCAGGTTCGAAAGACACTCTGCAGTGTCACCAGACAACCAAGACTAAGGTCTCACCCCGCAGTCCGTCTCAGTCTTCCGAGGGCTGGCATTACAGACATGCCACCACACCCCGGTTAGCAGTCTGTCCTTATCACACTTGAACGACAAACTGGGTTTGTAAAGAACGGGAAGCAAAGCAGACAGTGTGTCTGGCCTAGACCCCGTCCCATAATCAGATCTAACTGGCATGGAGGCCTGCACTTACTTTTTCAGATGCAGTTGCAATTCGTGTTCCCTGCAGGTTGAGAGCAATGCAGCTCAGGACGCCCTCATGTGCAGGAATGTCCACTGGTGGCTTCTCAGTGCTGGCCAGGTCCACAAGCTGTACATGGCCGGTGTGAGTGCCGGGGAAGGCGAGAAGGGAGTTGTTACTGTTGGGACACAGGACACAGAGACCTATGCAGAGACAGAGAGAACTGGTTGGGAGACGACAATGGCTAAAGCCTGCTTCCTCACAACCCAGACCCACCTCCTGCTCTCAAATCCTCGGCCACAAGTCAACTATTTGTGGAGTATATCGACCTTGGAATCAGTCACTGACTGGAAAGAGCATCAGGGCTGAAGAAGCTGCTGCCCATGAGACCTGCTTACACAGGGAACACTTGCTGAACAGTTTACTACTGAACACATTTATCTATCAGGCATCTGTCTTCCATAATGCCAGCTACTGAGAATATAACAAAAAATTTAATTCTTAAATTACAGAACTTAAGAACTACTCCATCAGCAATAACACAAACCTTCAAATACTTAGCGTCAATCTAGATAGAGATACTCTTCCCAAGGCCATGGCTGGAAAAGCCAGCTTTGCCTGTGTCTAACTCATCCACAGCCTTCAAAGACATAGCTAAACCCTCAGCACACAAGCTGACATGGAGGGTTATGAGGAAGAAAGGTTCTAAAAGACACCCTCCCCAAAATGCACAAAAAATGTAAATGTATAAAGTAAGACTGGAAGATTGATGTTATGTAATTTTAAGATTAACTTTAAAGTTTCAGCAATAATGGCAGAGTGGTACTGGCATATGGATCACTGGAAAAGAATGGAGAGTCCAAAAGACACTTTTGATTCTTACTGATCAAAACAAAGGGAACCAAAGTAATGTAATACAGAAGACAAAAACAATACCCTGTATCAAAACAATGGTTCTCAGCAGGGTGCAGTGGAGCGTAGCATCTGTAAAATCCCAGCACTCGGGAGGCTGCGGCAGGAGGAGTGTGTGTAGTAGGCCAGCCTAGGCTATGAGAATCTGTCTCAATAAACACAAGTATTCAGAGAGCTGAACATGTACTTCCTGGCTAGTGTGCCAGCTACTCTGGAAGCTGAGCCAGGGGCAGTTGAGTCCTGAAGTTCAAGACTAGCCTGCCTAGCAAGACTTCACTCAAAAGAAACAAAAAAGAGGTAAGAGAGAAAAAGAAAAAAAAATGAAGGGAAAGATGGGGGTAAGCATGTAATTTATAGCAGAACATAACTGAAGGGGGAAAATGACCATTTCTGCGACAGTATGAGGGTGAGGGTTGGATACGTAAGTCAGTTATAAACAGTCTACAACCACCCCCCCAATAAAAAGAAGAAAAGGCCAGAGCTCAGCAGCTCCCAATGTGGTTAGCTATGGAGGCAGACAGCAGAGGAAGAACCCCAAGACTGTGCCAAGACTGTGGTAAGGGTGTGGCATCCAGGATGCTAAGGGAGCTCGGGCAGGCAGAGAGGAAAAGCTAGCACTCCAGGGCTTGTCTGAGTGTGCGCAGGGCACCCAGCCTCATCTGTATCCCCACATGGACCAGTTCCCCATTGCTGCCTTCCTCTCCAGTTCTCACCTTTAGGGTTATAGCAGGTTTCAAAGACGTGCAGCTGATGGGGATTGTGTGTGAATGTAAACACCTTAATCATGGAGTCCAGAACCACAACAATTCTGAAAAGAAAAATGCAATCAGAGCTCCTCTCCTCAAAAGTAAAATAATCATTTTGAGATTTCTGTTCCCAACTGTGAAACTCAGAAACACAGGAAGTACCTCATACAAAACGGACTGGGCTTGCTATTTTTATCTTGTCGGGGTCTCACTTTGCAGTTCAGCCGGCTTCAGTCTCAAACTTGCAGGGGTCCTCTTGTCTATTCCCCGAGTGCTGGGATTTTAAGTGTTTATAAACAACACACCTACTTTCTTTTTTTTTGAGTTAGGGTCTCATATAGCCCAAACTAGCCTTGAGCTTGTTACATACTTGAGGGTGGCCTTAACTCTTGCCTTCATTTCCCAAGTGTTGAGATTGTAGGTGTGTGCCATCAATTCCTGTTACAAACAGGTCCCAATGTGGCCCAAAAGGCAAAAGTATAAGGGCTGAGCACAGCTGGATGGGTCCACCATCTTTCAGAGGTCACTCTCAGAGAAACTTTGAGCTTTGAGAAACATCATGAGCAGACAGACATCTCAACTAGAGCATTAGCAAGGTGAGACACATCACAAAATTACACTCTTACTCTTAAAACATTTCTATAATTAAGGAAATTGTACCAGGAGTAGAGGCACAAGCCTGAGTAGCCCCTCCTGCCACTTGGAAAGCAGAGGCAGAATGGTAAGACTTTAGGGCCAGCTTGGGCTACCCTGATCAACAAACTAAAACAAAAACAGAACAAAACACCACCCGAAAATTTTCCAAGTAGAAGATTATTAGTTTGGGTCAAATATTTGCATTATTACGGCCTCTAAACACTACCATAACTAAGCTAAAAATGATGCAGGACAGGGACAGCTTAGGAATATGACACATAAACCACATCAAGTTAAAACACAAGGGATAGTGATAAAGCCCTTCTTTCTCAACAAGCTACCAGGGTGAGCTCTGTAAGGCAATGCTCTTTCAGCAGGTAAGAGTCAACGACAAGCTCAGCTTCCAAGTTCTCTACTTTCAACACGGGACACCCAGTAAAGGTGGTGGCTTCACATGCACACCTGGTGACATCCCCATGCCTACCCAGAACATCCCTCTGGAGAATCTAGCAGCCAATCAAATTTCCAGCCTTCCTCAGGGCAGAAGAAAAAAAAACCCTCTTCTGCTATGGGTCATAAACTACAGTTACTAACATTTTAATACGCTATTCCACAGAAAAATCACTGTATCTGTTTTTTAAGGAAAAGAAATTCCACTTAGAAAATTACCATTGAACCCACCTATCTCTCCGCAACTTGACAGCTTTGACCTCCGTGGAGAACTCTATCTCGATGACGGTCTTCTTCTTCAGGTCATCCCAGATCATCACTGAAACACCAGAGAGTGCATGTGGCGTCACAAATAGCCCACAGTGCAGAGCTGCAGATGGCATCTGACACATGAGGCCAAACGGCAGGGTATGGCCAGGCTTGTAAGGCTACGTGGAAATAGCCCTCAGAACCCTCCCCGACTCACAAGCACAACCAAGGTCTTAGGAACCCTACCTGTCGGACACACTCAAGCCAGTTTCACCTGAATAGCGACTACAGTCACTAAGTGTTTCAATGCCAGAGAGAATGAAGGGGGCTGCAGATGGCCTGGTGGCTAACAGTGCTTTCTGCTCTTCTAGTGGACGCAAGTTCAGTTCTGAACACCCACGTCTGGCAATTCACAATCACCTCTAATTCCAGTTCCAGGGACTCCAATGTCCTCTTCTGGCCTCCTCTGGCACTCACAAACGTGGTGTACACTCAAACACACATGTACAGAAATAGATTTTTAAAAACTGGCTGGGAATATAGCTCACTGTTGAGTATAGTCTAGCATGCCTTTGGAGCTCTAGGTTCAGTTCCTAGCACCATAAAGAAAAGGGGAGAGTAGGGGAAAAAGCAGGAGAAGGAATAGGCAGGTGGCAAAGAGAAGGCTCGCTCAATGGGTAAAGGTTTTTGTACTGAACCTGATAACCTAAGTTCACTACCTGGAACCCACCGAACCCACATGGTGGAAAGAGAACCAGTTTCTGGAACTTCTCTTCCTTATCCCATGCGTAAATAAATAATTTTTAAAATCTTTAAAAATAATGATAGGTAGTAGGGAATATAGGACTTAGCACAAAGAAAAGGGGAAGGGCAAGATCCCTACCCATAACCACACTACTTTTCTCTTTCATCTCTCTGCTCCTGATTCTGAAACAAAGGCAGAACTGTGGGGCCAACCTCACCTGAGTGCTGGCTGTTTCCCGTGTGCACAGAGCTCCGCCGAGAACGGCAAGCCTAGGACCCATAATCACCTCTGCCTTTGTACATGGTCCCCTTTCTTTCCTTTTTGGGAACTCAGTAATAGAAACAAAGCCTCAAGACACCCACCCTCACAATCCTTTCCTTTTTTTCCTGTATCAGACATGAGCTATTCCAATTCTCTACCAGACACTAGCTTACCCTCCCAGTACATCCTCAACTGACAGTTGCTGTGGGGCAATGCTCTTGTACCCTGTAAAGATTTTGTCAGTCTTACTGGTTTAATAAAACGCTGACTGGCCAGCAGTGAGGCACGACAACCAGACTAGGAGAATTCTGGGAAGAAAAAAGGCAGTCTGCAGTCACCATCCAGATGGAGAGGAATGAGATGAGAATACCTCATTGAGTAAGGTACCAAGCCATGTGGCTAGCATAGACAAGAATTATGGGTTAATCTGAGTTGTAAGAGATAGTTATTAAGCCTGAGCTAATAGGTCAAATCAACCAATTTATAATTAATATAAGCCTCTGTGTGTTTTGTTGGACTGAACGGCTGCAGGACCAAGCAGGACAGAAACTTCTGTCTATACTTAGTCTCCCTCATCCCCAAGATACGCCCCACTCCATTCTCAAGTAACCCTCCATCTCCCGTTTCTTTCCCTCCTTCTTTTCAGGTCTTTTTTCCCCCCGTCAAGCTTTCTTAATTCAGATGGGATCAGCTGTGTTCACTTCCTCCTTTTAACAAAAGCTAGATTAAGCTCAACTAAGGGTGTGATGTCTACAGTGAAAACAAATTTTAGGAGGGCCATACCTTTCAACTGTAATTTCCTCTAATACATATAACAACAAATCCACACTAAAACTGTAACCCATGCACCCACAGCCAACCTGGCTCTTTGTTCTATGTGAACAACAAGTTAATGTTTCTATGAGTCCATGGCTTTCAGCAGGGGAAAAAAAAACTTCCCTAGACTTTGCTTTACCCTGAATCACAGTTACACCATTACCAACCTACAGGTGAAGCACACCTCACTCATTAACAGTTGACATCCAGTCTTCCCATCCACCTACTTTCTGGAAGCTCCTTTCCCAATGGTTTTCAACACCCCAGAGGACTACTAGAGAGGCTCTCACATGGTTACAGACATAAGATGCTCTACAAAATACAGGATACAAAGACACACATGGCAAGGTTTTAAAGAAAGGACTACTGTACCTTTGTTGGGAGGATATTTCGGCTTTTTTCCACCACCAACTAAAGCTAAATAGTTACAGCGAAATAACATTTCCACGTGGCCAACTCCTCCTTCTAAAAATTCTGAAATGATAATTTAAAAAGTTAAAATGTTTAACAAATGAGAAAAAGTGACAACATACAATGCTAACTAAGCATTCCACTAATTTATTTACTTATTTTTGAGCCAGGTCTTACTATGGTAGCCCTGGCTCTAAGCCTTGCTTAAAACTTAAGAACTCTGCCTGCCTCTGCCTTCTGAGTGCTAAGATTAAAACACGTACCACCACACCTGACCTAGCCAGCATTTCATTCTCACACTATTTTAAGTGTAAGGGAGCTTTGCCTGTATTATATCTGTGTACCATGTGTGTGCTTAAGGCCCACAGAGGCTATTAAGAAATCCTGGAACTGGAATCGTAGAAAGTTGTGAGCTGCCATGTGGTGCTAAGAATCAATCTTGACTGCTAAGCCATCCCTTCAGGCCCCAGCATTTTATCCTCAATAATCAATTTGTAACCAAATACCATCTGAAGTAGAAATGGTGACTACCTCAGAAAACAAGTGGTAGGCTTTCCTGACTTCTCTCAAGTTTCTGTCATTGTGAGCAACAGTCTCTTGAGAGCTAAGAACAAATTCCCTGAGAAACTAATTGAGTAAAAGTGGAAAATGTATGTGTGTGTTTGTGTGTGTGTGTGTGTATACACACATATATACATAGATAAATCTCTCTCTCTCTTTTTTTCTTTAAGACAGGGTCTCTATATAACCCTGGCTGTCCTGGAGCTCACTATGTAGATCAAGGTGGCCTAGAACTCACAGAGATCCTCCTTCTCTGCCTCCTGAATGCTAAAGGTGTGTGCACCACTACACCCAGCTCCCAAATTCATATTTTAAGATGCAACAAGTTCTACAGATTTTGGAGAAGTAAGCAGTTGTGGTGCACATCTGTAACTCCAGTACTCAGGAGGCTGAGGCAGGAGGATTAAGAGCTCAATAGCTCAGTTGGTACAGAGCTTGCCATGCAAAGCTCAACTATCTGAGTTTGATCCAGAACCTATATAAATGTAGAAGAGAACAGAACCCACAAAACTTTGACTTCAGCATGTGCACCCAACACTGCACATGCTGAAGAGCACAAAGCTAGTTTATACTATATACAGTCTCACAAGTAAATAAACAAATAAACAAAAGTATATTAGAAGCCCTAAAGCAAAGGCTAAGTCAATCAGTGACTTCATGTGTGGGGTGTTCTAACCGTCTGTTGTACTACAGGGTTAGATGCAGCTCAAGGGAGCAGCTGCTTTGTATGCACAAGGCCCTGGGTGAGAAAGAAGGAAGGGAGGGAGGGAGGGAAGGAAGAAGGGTGGTGGGTCAGCTGATCACAAATAATATTTTGGTGCGACACAGAAGTGTTACTGTTGAATCCCAGCAGTCGTACTTTTACTATCGATGTCTGTATGGTTAGTTGTACGTCAACTTGACACAAACTAGAGTAATCTGAGAAGAGGGAACCCCAATAGAGAAAATGCTTCCATAATGTTTGGTTGTACATCAGCCTGTAGAGCATTTTCTTAATTAATGGCTGGTTGATGAGAAAAGTCCAGCCCATTGTGGGTGGTGGCACCCCTGGGCTGATGGTCCCGAGTTCTATGAGAAAGCAGGCTGAGCAAGCCATAGGGAGTAAACCAGCAAGCAGCACCCTCCATGGCCTCTGCACCAGCTCCTGCCTCCAGGTTCCTGGCCTGTTGAGTTTCTGCCTTGGTTTCTATCAACGGACAGTTACGTGGGATATAAAAGCTGAATAAACCCTTTTCTCTCCAAGTTGCTCTTGCTATGGTGTTTCATGAAGGAATAGAAGATAGCGTCTGTTTTCAATTTGAGACAGGATTCTCACTCTGTAGACCCGGCTAGCCTCCGCCTCCAGAGTGCTGAGATTAAAAGCTTATACCACCATATTCAGCTTGCTGCTTTATTAGACAGGGTCTCACTTTATAGCTAGAACTCAAATTTCTCCTGCCTCAGCCTCCAGAGCACTGGGATTACAGATATGTGCAACTTCAGCTGGATGATAATTTCCTTTAACAGAGCTAAGATAGTACTGGAATCAGAAAATTTAAAACCCAACTTTGGAGAGAAATGGTTATTATTGTTAATTTTCAATAATTTATCTAAAATTGTTCACTTACTGTTAGTGCTTTATTATCCCAGTAGTTAAGAACCAGAAACTGCCAAATGTTTAAGAAAAAATATATAGGAAGAGAAAGTAAGCTGAAAAAAACTCTACTTATCAAAATTAATCATAAAAATGAAAAGCACAATTATTTTATTTACCTACACAATTTCTAGTTCCAGCTTTTGAAAATTTTTATTTTATGAAAACACAGACTAAGGAGCTAGAAAGATGGCTTAGCAGTTAAGAATACTGGCTGCTCTTCCCCAGGCCCAGCTCTGACTGCCAGCACATGTAACTCTCAACTGCCTCTAACTCCAGTTCCAGGGAACCCAGGGCCCTCTTCTGGTCTCTTGTGAACCAGGCATGCAAGAAGCACACAGACAAACATTCTTTACACACACACACACACACACACACACACACACAATTTTAAATTAAAAAACAAACAAAACATGGATCAAGACACCCAAATAGCTAGGCATTAGTGGTGGAGGCACAGGCAGGTAGGTCTCTGAGTTTGAGGCCAGTCTACAGATCTACACAGCAAAACCCTGTCTCGGGGAAAAAAAAAAGATATTCAAATAAGTAGGAAGAATTATAATTTAGCATTATAAAGAAAATTTTCTTTTCCAGACTGTTTTGTTATGAAGCCCTGCTTGGTCTTGAACTCACTCACTCACAATCCTTCTACCGCAGCTTTCTGAACAGTAAGATCTGAATGCCAGGGTTACAGATATGTGCCATTAAACCCAACTATTAATACTTTGTAAGTGCTGGACATTTGAATAATTTAAGAGTCCCATAAACTGAGATTAAACCCATGATCTGCTTTCTCTAGTTTTACATTCAGGAAGAAAAGTGTGGGAAGTGCCCTGCATTAAATACACCTTAATCTTCCAAGCAGAGGTACTAGGGGCTAAAGATGTGAAGGAGGAAGAGAAACATGGTCGGCCCCCGTTTACAAAGGGTCAAGTTCTGCTTGCTTCCATCTCAGTCAAGGTCTTCTCTCTAGACTGAGGGCGGTGGGGTGGGGGTGGGGGACGACCAGGAAATGATCGCCATACCCTTACCTTGTTTCTCTTTTTCTTTGAGTGGATCAGTGTTATAGACTCGGAATCCATTTTCCATTCCACATGCAAAACATCCTAAAGCAAGAAACATGGAAGAGACATGTTAATCTCCAGAGCTGTTGCCAGTAGAAGGGGTCCAGGGAAGCGTCTGTCACATGTTCAAACCATATATGCTGTGTACTAAGCCACAGCAACTTCAGAAGCATCATTTTTCTGGAATGTACTTTGGATGGCCATTTACCATGCAGTTTCCCCACTCTGGGCCCTTCTCTGGCATTCCTGTGGGCCAGGTTTCTGCTTAAACATCGGACACACCTCTCACTAGCGCCAGACTCTCACCAGACTCCCCTTCTACAACACAGTACTCAAGTACTGTGTCAGGTATACTGTTAGGGGATGTGCAGTGTAGCAGACAAGGTGGAGCTGCTCTTTTCCACCTCCAGGGTGACCTCCTAGAGAGCAATGCTGAGGTCTCCCATGACCTCACTCTTGACTGTTCAGACTCCTCAAACTCCTGTTACAACAGTCACAAGCAGTGACTGACTTAGGACATCTCAGTCACTGTCTCCAGGTCACATACTGAGATTGTCAAGGTCCAAATAAAAGGTAGTGCTAGGAATTGAAAAAATTCCCAGGTGGTGGTGCACGCCTTTAATTCCAGCACTCGAGAGGCAGTGGCAGGCGGATCTCTGTGTGTTCAAGGCCAGCTTGGTCTACAAGAGCTAGTTCCTGGGAAACCCTGTCTCAAAAAAACAAAAAACAAAACAAAACAAAAAAATAACCCAAAAAACAAAAAAGCACCCAAGTTTCAGGATGATATGGTGATTCCTATAATCATGGCAACATAAAACTACACTAATTAACTTCAAATATGGTGCTCAACTATTACTGAAATCAAGCTTCAGCTGAGAGAAGGAAACCAAACGCTTCATCTTTTCCTCCCAATTCAATGTTGCAGTTTGGTTCCTCACAGCAGTTGTACAATGGTCAATGGTTTAAGAGATGCAAAGATGCTCTGCGGTACCAGCCGAGCAGCTCTAGTCCACACTTCACCTCCAGAGACAAAGACACCTGCTGCCTACCTCCAGTCTCTGCATGAATAAAGCGATTTCTAAACTCACCAAGAGCAGCCAGTCGGCGATGGTGCATGCTTTCTATTCCCAACACTAGGGAGGCAGAGGCAGGAGGATCTCTGAGTCTGTGGCCAGTCTAGTCTACAGAGTTCCAGGACACTCAGGGCTACACAGAGTAACCTTGTCTCAAAAACCAAACCGAAACAAGTCAAAACCAAAACAAACAAAAGAAAATCAACCAACTAAAACAAAACAAACAAAAACAATTCAGTAAAAAAACACCAAAAGTAAATCTACAAATCAGTATAAGCCAAACCAAGTTGTAACCGACTCAACACATAAGGCTATTCTAGCCAGAGACCTTGAGACTCCTGATCCTCCGGCCTCCACTTCCCCAGTGCTGAGATTACAGGACTCTACCACCATCCCCAGTGAATGGAAGCACTAGTATTGGTCCAAACCCATGACCTCATGAAAGCTAGGCATGCACTCCATTAACCGAGCCACACTCCTGCGAATGTCTGAGTAAGAATGGCCCCCATTTGGTGTGGGAGGTCCTTCTGTCTATGTGCTGCTTTCAGTGGTTAATGACTAAAGAAACTGCCCTGGCCTGTTGATAGGGCAGAACTTAGGTAGGCGGGGAAGATGGACTTGAATGCTGGGAGAAGAAAGGTAGAGAGAGACACCACAGAGACACCATGGAGCCGCCAGAGACAGACATGTCGAATCTTTCCTGGTAAGCCACTGCCACATGGCGATACACAGATTAATAGAAATGGGTTAAACTGAGATGTAAGAGTTAGCCAATAAGAAGTTAGAGCTAATGGGCCAAGCAGTGTTTTAATGAATACAGTTTCTGTGTGGTTATTTTGGGTGTAAGCAAGCCAGACAGCTGGGACAAACAAGCAGGCCCCTCCATACAACAATTGGCACCAACATGAGGGACTAAATCCACTTTAAAAACCTGAGAGAGCTTAATTTCAAACACAAAAATAGAAAGTTTAACACAACTTTTTGCTCTTTACTGGCTCCTTTAAGGGAGATTTTCCTGACCCAGTCGTAGCAGGAAAAAAGTGGTGGTTTTAAAATGCTGGCTTTCTGGGCCACTGCTAGTGCAAGCCCTGACTCTTTCAGGCAGGAGGTCTGACTACAGAGCATTTGAGTTGGTTTTGTGAGCAGCATGCTGCATGCAGCTTGCTTGATGGCAATTTGGACTGGCAGTGTACCTGGAACTGGAGCAGTGTGCTTGGCCATGCTGGACTGTGCAGAGGTAGCTGGAACTACCATATATGTCACAGTAATAGCGCGGCTTAAGTTTTAGACTTGGCAGGCAAACAGGTCGTACCGTATTACCTCTACTAATGGCACAACTTGAGTTTTTAAGAAGTGCTCCTGGACAGTAAAAAATTACAGATTCACAACAGGACAGATTCAGACATAAAAGATCTCTAAATGGGTCACAGTGTTGGATAAATGTACATAGGCTTGGGAGAGAGAAAGAAAAGAGTATAGAGTCATAAAATAAAGTTAATGCTTAAAAAAAGGGGTAAAGTCTTTAAAGAGACAGAGTACAAATAGTCATAGATTAAAAGGAGTAAAGAAAAATAAGCCATGTAAAAATGGAAAATTCACAGAATCTGAATTCTGTATATTATTGTGTTTTCTTTGAATTTTTTGACTGTGAAGGAGCTAAGTACAGAGAGACATTTCATTCTATGGGCTACTAAGCTAAACCAGCATGTATATTGTAAAGGTATCTTGACTTCAGAATTTGGGTCTAAGGACATGTTGCTTGGGAAAAAAAAAGGTTCTTCTTTTGTTTTCACAGAAGATGAGAACCTCTGGATTGCTTCCAGGTGAATATGGTTTCATAGACTATGCCCCCCTGAAAGGTCACCATGAACACCCTCAAAAAATTACTTTGCCCACCTGCTGACTGGGATGAACCTAGCACACAGAATACACCATGGAAGACCTGATTAACAGCACCTCCAAACAGCAGGAAGCAGTACGGACAAATCTAAGCCCATATTTCCAAATATTGACTATAAATGTTTGTTTACATTTAAAGGGGGATATGATATAGATATGAATAACTTGCTTTGTTATGGATTGTGGTTTATTTGCTGTGGAACAATGGTCTGTATCCTGTCAATTTTATTTTAAGTAAACACTGATTGGCCAGTAGCCAGGCAGGAAGTATAGGCAGGACAACCAGGCAGGAAGTAGAGGCAGGGCAATGAGAACAGTAGAATTCTGGGAAGAGGAAAGTTTATTTGGCAGTTGTGATCCAGCCACAGAAAAAGCAAAATGTGACTGCTAAAAAAGGTACTGAGCCATGTGGCTAACAGATAAAAATAGCGGGCTAATATAAGTTATGAGTTAATAAGCCTGAGATACTAGACCAATAAGTTTATAACTAACATAGACCTCTGTGTGATTTCTTTGGGACTTAGCGATTGTGTTAACTGGGCAGGATAGAAACCCTGACAATATTTATTGATACAAATTTAAGGTCAATTTTGTTATATTTACATTTCTGATCTTAAGACATTGTGTTTGTGTAGCTCATTTAAATGCAATGTAATAGATAGTCATTTATAATAGTCAAGATTATAGTCATGTTAGTTAGGTTTTCTGGATATATAGAGGCATATTTCAGTTAGGTATTCTTCAAAACTTTCAGAGACCTTCAGAATATGGCACTTAAATGTTTTAATAATTTAGGACTTTTCATGACAATGAGACACATCTGCTCCTGGCAATACAAGCTACTTCAAGAGGAAGATGGGCATCGAAGGGACTCCTTATGGTGTTGTTTAGCCATCTGGGCAAGAAACGGCTCTTGCGTGGATTGCTTAACTGGACAGGCAGAACCTGCATAGAAATGACTGCTGAACTTGCCTAAAGGTGAGATGATCCTTCAGAGTTCCTGCTTCATGAAAGAGTCTGTGAGACATTCTTCAGGATACAGAAGAAAGTGACTGAACTGTCTTTGAAATTTCCTGCTTCATGGAAAAGTCTGCTGGATACTATGGGCCTGTAGGCTGAAGATGGATGACCCAATGATACAGAACTTTGGGTGACTGTCTAGACAACAAGATGTCTCTGTCAATTCTAGAGTTTTAGAAGTTGCTTACAATGCACTTCCTGTTTGCTTAAGTAATATATTCTTCTGGAGTCTTTGATGGAGTTGAAGAATTTATAGTTATAGTTTTTCTTAGTTATGATAAAAGATAAAGTAGATATAACTATTGTAACTGCAATTTTCTTGCTTGATAATTGGTTTGTTATATGTAATTTTACTATGTTAAAGTCAACACCTTCCTTTTTGTTTAAACAGAAAAGGGGAAATGGTGTGGGAGGTCCTTTTGTCTATGTGTTGCTTTCAGTGGTTAATAACTAAAGAAACTGCCCTGGCCTGTTGATAGGGCAGAACTTAGGTAGGCGGGGAAGATGGACCTGAATGCTGGGAGAAGAAAGGTGGAGAGAGACACCACAGAGCTGCCAGAGACAGACATGTCTAATTTTTCCTGGTAAGCCACTGCCACATGGCGATACACAGATTAATAGAAATGGGTTAAACTGAGATGTAAGAGTTAGCCAATAAAAAGTCAGAGCTAATGGGCCAAGCGGTGTTTTAATGAATACAGTTTCTGTGTGGTTATTTTGGGTGTACGGTAGCTGGGCAGCCAGGACAAACAAGCAGGCCCCTCCATGCAACACCCATCAGCTCATATATTTAAATACTTGTTGTCTAGTTGGTGTAACTGTTTGGGCAAGATTTGGAGATATGGGCTTGTTAGACAAGGTGTGTTACTAGGGGTGCACACATCTATCTGCCTCTTGCTTGTGGATCAGATGTAAACTCTCAGCCACGCCTGCCCACTCACTGCCATGTTTCCCCCATGAAGGTCACGGAGTCCAGTCCCCTGAAATGGTAAGCTCCCAATAACTCCTGTCATGGTGTCTCATCAGGGCAACAGAAAAGTAACTACGACAATTTGCCAGCTTAAAAACTATTTTCTTTCTTTCTTTCGTTTCTGGGGACAGGGTTTCTCTGTGTAACCCTAGCTGTCTTGGAACTCACTATGTAGACCAAGCTAGCGTGAAACTCAAGAGATTTGCCTGCTTCTGCTTCCTAAGTGCTGGGGTCAAAGGCATGCACTGCCACACCCAGCTAAAAGGGAATTTCTTAAGGAATTGTAGAACTATTAATTCTGTAAGAGGTTTGATTACCAAAATTTAATCAAAAAATTACTGATTTCTTTCCTGCTCTTAAATTCAGAATGTTTGGCCAGACGATGCCCATTGTATACCTCACCCCTACCTTGTTGATGTTAATTGTGCTCCTTCAGTCCCCACAAAGGGACCAAGACTAAGAGGGCAATCACCAGGTCAGCAATCCCAGGCTGCTCTACGACACTGCAGTCTGCTTTCTTCCAAGAACTGCCAGTGCCTTCAAAGGAGAAGAGTAATCCTGCCCATCTCCAAATCTAAAGGAAAGCTTCCTACACTTGTCATAGGACAGACACATTTTCTACCCCTTACCTTCGTTCACCTCAGAAACGTTATATCTATCCTATGGGTTTTGATTATATTGACTGCATCCCTCAGACCTCCTGAAACACCTAGCCCATGAACTCCAGGCAAATATATACAGATGAGATACACAATAGTACTATCTACTTAAAAATTATTTCTTTTTTGTACCCCAGCACCTCAAAATAAGTTATTTAAAAATTATTTTAAAAGGGATGGTGTGAGTATGGTGTATGAAGCAGGAGGATCAGCATAGTTTAAGGTCAGCCATAGTTTACATAGTGAGTGAGACTCCATCTCAAAAACCAAAATGGCTAGGTGTGAGGTAAAGGGAGGCAGATCTCTATGAGTTCCAGAACAGCCAGAGATACACAGTGTGACTGTCTCAAAGATAAACTTAAAGTTTTTTTTTTTAAGGAAAAAAAATCATCTTCTTAGCCAGGGGCAGTAGTAGAATCAGCCTTGTAATCCCACCTACCCCAGAGGCTGTGGGAAGAAGATCCTTTGGCCCAAGACAAACTCGGTCAAGAGAACAAGATCCTTTCCCAAAAACAACAGAATTCAAGTTAAGTTCATTTTTCTGGGTTAGGAAATCATACATTTGCTTAAGTGCCTTCAAAAAATCTTATTTTTGAATGCCAAGATGTTAAAACTCTTAGAAGCCCAGAATAACAGCCTTTATGCTTTTTTCTTCCTTTGGGGAGATTTAGAAAAAGGTAATTTAGCTGGGCCGTACTCTAATCATTGCTCTTAGGAGGCAGAGGCAGGCGAATCGAAGCTCGAGGCCAGCCTGGTCTACAGAGTGAGTTCCAGAACGCCCAGGGTTACACAGAGAAACCCTGTTCCGAAAAAACAAGGAAAAAAAATAGAAAGGGGAACTTGACATCGGAGGCAGGAGTTCCCGCCCACATCTTGGAGTACAGCACACAGGGGTTAAAAACATCTTCCCCAAGACCCCAAACTCATAGAGCAGCTCCCGAAAAGGCAAAAACACAGACGTCTTTTCATTCTATTGAACAGAAGAAAATACCGGAGGGAAGGGAGAGGGATATTGCTGGGACCCGCATCAAGATGCCAGACTACAAGAACCATGACAAACTGCCGCTCTGTGACCGGTAGGACCTTCGACGACACACGATGGCAACGTAAACGCTTTAAGACCCTCACGCTAGGTAGTAAGCCTGCGTGGTCTAGGCACCCGGCACAAAGTGAGGCTGCCCGCGGGGAGAGGCAGCGCGTCCGCAGGAACATGGGGTGGGGGTGTGTGCTCGCCACGCTGTGGTTGCCCTGGATGGAAAAGCGGGGGGGGGGGGCGGGGAGCTCCCCAAAGAGTCTGAGGTCTCAGGGCGTGACCGAGGTCTCCCGTTAGGGTCCGGGGGGAACACTCGCGACAGACAGACCCGGGGCCCTGCAGTGGCGAGGCACAGCGTCGGGTCGGGGTCTCCCGGAAGGGCTGGGGTTACTGCCACGGAGCCGGGCCCGGAGTCTCACCATGGTCCTGGTTGAAGCCGGCATACAGCAGCCCGTTGCCGTGGGGGTTACATGGCAGAAGGTTCATGGCGCCCTAGCGGCGGCGGGGGGGTGGGGGGTTGTCCCTCGCCCCTCAGCACCGCATTCCGCTCCAAACCCGACGATCTATCCAGTAGCGCGGCGCTAGGGCCGCCGCGGCCGGAAGCGACGGTCCTAGGGGCTTGCGTCGTGCGTGTGTCGTCAGCGCGTGCGTCGTCAGTGCGCGCGGGCCCGCTGGTGCGCGTGCGCGCTCAGCTAGCGTGCCCAGAGCGCCGAAGACTTTCCGGCTCTGGGAAGTTGGTGGCCGGGGAAAGCCGAGCGCGTCCGTGAGGGGCGGGACTGGACGGATTGGAGGAGGAGCTGCGGAGGGAGGTAGGTTCCTAGACGCTCCCAGAGCCGGACAGGATAGACTGGACCGCCCCCGACACGCCTGCCCACGTCCAGACTCTCCAGGAACCCTGGCCACCTTCCCACGGAACTCACGTTTCCTCGGAAGCAGCCTTCTTGTATTGGCACTTGCGTTTTCCAACGGACCCACGCCAAGAAGGGGACACAGACAATCCTCTATGTCTTTCTGCCCAACCGTCGGACTCGTCTTCCCACAGACACAGATTTCCCCAAGAGACACCTCCCTAACTCCAATAGCCTCACAGGACACAACCCCCATAGGAAAGTTCTCCCCCACCCCCGCCTCCCTCACTAATCACTAGGAGAGGCTATTAGTTGGGGTGTCCTGGTCACAGAGGTTTGGGCCCCAGTTAGACCACAGTCAAACTGAGTGGCTGTGGAAGCTGGTGCTTCCATTCCGCTACTATTTATTTTCCGGATCCCTTCTTTCCTCACTGGCCTCTCCCTAGCTTTACCACCCTTTCCTCCCAGTAAAGACAGCTTCTTGGAAGTAAAGAGCCATCATGCAGGAGTCCTGTCCTTGAAGTTTTGGCCTCTAGAGCTTCCAAACTGTGAGACTAATACTTCTGTTATTTATAAACTACCCCATCTTGGGTAATTTTTGTGACAGTTCTGCAAATGACCCAAGATATGCTCATCCCCCCTCTCTGCCCCATCCAACAACCTGGGAAAGAAGTGAGTCGCACTTCGCACCTCACACCTTACAGCCTGATTTCAGTTACCTCACAACGAGCAGCTTTGATTTTGCTTATGAAACCCACATTTAATTTGATGAAGCTTTCTTCTCAGCAAAGTGAGTCTGGGATCTCCAAATGTTTGCAAAAGCAAACATCGTGACACCAATAATGCACTTATTTTGTCTACAGAAATTTTAAAGATTTATTATTTAAGTGTGTGTGTGTGTGTGTATGCTATGTGGGTGAGGGTACCCTCGGAGGTCAGAAGAAGAAATTAGATTCCCCTAGAGCTGGAGTTATAGGTGGCTATGTCACCAGATGTGGATGCTGGGGACCAAATTCAGGTCCTCTGTAAGAGTGGGAGGTACTCATAACCACTGAGCAATCTCTATCCCAATTGCCTAAATAATATCAGGTAAAAAACAGAAAGCTTTCTGTGTGGGTAAATCTCTGCAATGCAGCCATTTTCACATGGCAACTGAAGACATAATCGTGTGTGATATATTTTGCATCTCAGTGTTTGAAGAGAAGCTCACATGCCTGGGATTAATGTACCCATGCCCAGACCTTCCAGTGAATGCCATAGGGGAAAATGGCAAAGGCTCGCTGGGGTTTAACCTGCTTTTCAGCTATACTTTCTGTGTATTCACCACCAAAGCATGAATACTTTTTAAAAAGATTTATTTATTGATTATGTATACAGTGTTCTGTCTGAATGTATGCCTGCAGGCCAGAAGAGGGCACCAGATCTCATTACAGATAGCTGGGAATTGAACTCAGGACCTCTGGAAGAACAGCCAGTGCTGTCAACCACTGAGCCATCTCTCAGCCCTAGCACGAATACTTTTACTTAATATGTTCCATTTGATAACTTTCATTCTACAGAAATTTGCTGTAGCACTTGCTGGCTCTATCACTTTTTCAGGTTCCCATAATAATCTATTCTACAACAGTCCTGGAAGGCAGAAGTTCAAAATCAAAGTACAGGAGGGCTGTGTTTATTCTCAAAGGTCCTGGGGAAGAAGTGTAAAAACCTCTGGGAAGCCTGTATGTTCCATAGATATCAGTCTTCCAAAAGGCTCCAGGTCCCAGGAGTTTACAAAACACAGGTCTGGACATGGTGGTGTGTGCATGTGATGTATTCGCTAAGCTGAGGCATAAGAACCTGTGTGGCGTGTCTGGCTTGGCCAGGGCTCTATCCGGCACAGCCCACCATCCATCCCAGCAATACTGAAGAGGGGAGGGAAAGACACCTAAAGAACTTTCTTCATGTGACCTGCACTTTCATCTCCCTGGTTACAAACCTGAGAAAGAGCTGCTAAGTCGTGACTGTCCATGCCCTGGATGCTCTCTCCATCAGTGGCATAGCAAACAGGAGGTTGTGAAGGCCCTGGCAGGATGTCCTCACAGGTTGGCTACTGTCAAGGAGGCCTGGCTCTTTCAGGTTTCACTGCTGTGCATACTCACCTGCAGACTCTCTGTGGATAAATTTTCACCTTATCTCCACACTGCTGGATGCCCACCTGTTAGCTTCAAGTCTTCAGTGGACCACACAGCTGTGCTCCATCTTCTCTAAGGGCATCATTTGTATGTCTCTAGAGTCCTGTAAATTGTTAAATCTGTAAATCACTAACAGAAAACATAGACTATCCGAGCTTTATCTTAGTTCACTTGTTCTGGTATTTAATCCCTCCTTGTGCCCTGCTTCCTAAGTAGCAGGACCAGAAAAGAGACCTAGACTTGAGCCTTTGTAGAGTCAGTAGGGTTTTTGGCCAAGAGAGTGACAAGGGTTTCGTCTGTAGGGAAATGCCTGGCCACAGCTCTCTGCTCCCAGTAAGGGACAATAAACCTCTGACATTTGCCAGGAGACACACGGATGCTGTCGTCACTTTATTTTGTTGAAACAAGGTCTCACTCTAACCTTGGAACTCACTGTGTAGTTCCAGGTTGATCTAAATATCAGAGCAAAATTGTTTCAACATCCCAAGAACAGGGGCAACAGCCATCAGCCACCGCACCCAGTGCTGCTTCCTTTCTCTGCATTTTTTCTCTTTCTTTTCTTTCTTTCTTTTTTTTTTCCAAGACAGAGTTTCTCTGTGTACCTCTGGCTGTCCTGGAACTCACTCTCTACAGAGCTCCACCTGCCCCTGCCTCCCCAAGTGCTGGTATTAAAGGTGTGAGTCACTGCCGCCCAGCTTGCATTTCTTACCTGGGAAAGAAATCTTTCCCAAAGGTTACAAAGGTCAAAAACTAACCTTTGTGGTAAGCATCGTGAATCAAAAACTGTCCTCGCTGGCCACACCAAGCAAGGAATCAAGTGAAGACAAGTACTGCCACGACCTAGATCTAGAATAGATATCACAAATCTTTAAAGAGAAGAACAATATCCACTTTATTGAGAAATATTCCCTTAAATAATACGGTTTCTACTCCATTATTTACTGAAACACCTTTCTCCTTGCAATCAGTTGAAACAATGCTGGTTATGTTCAACATAATTGGAGATATCTTTGGCATTTTCTTCCCATAGCTTCGTAACTTGTAGAACACTTTGTACAAAAAATGTAGGTTTACAGAAAAATATGAATATAGATTACTTATTAATCCCAAAATGTAGTAAATGACATAGCAAAAACTTTATCAAACCCATGTCCTACCCAAATGGGACAGATCTGTTGTACACAATCTCTATGTGCAGCTGCAGCATTTTTATAAATTGACCTTTGACATTAAAAGGTTTACAAAAAGCCCCTCTTGTAATACCAGTGATGCTAGCCTATCTGATCATCATTGTTTCTGAGATTTTCTTGAATATGTATTCACTACACACGTTTTGTCAGCCATACAAAAGCAGTGACAGAAAAAGTTGCACAGCAATCATGATAAAGGTAACATCCATAATTTCATATTATCAACAGTAGAGCAGAATACTAATTTTTCCCTTTGCACACACAAGTCCAGAATAAGAGCTTCATGCACATCCACACAGAAGTATCAGTCACAGCGCACTGGGCATTCATACCACACCGGTGGCATAGGCATTCCACATGAAAGCAGCATCATTACCGGGAGAGATGGAGACTATGTTTCTTGAGTCTAGAATGGTCTCTGTCCTCCAGACTCTCCTAGAGAGCCAGCTCTCTTCAGTTTTTAATTTTTAGGCAGGGTCTCAGTTGCTCAGTCTGGCCTTGAACTCCTTCTGTAGCCCAGGTGGGCCTTGAGCTTGTGATCCTCCTGCCTCAGACTCTTGAGTAGCTGGATGACAGGCCTGCGCCCCCAGTTCCAGGCTCTAAGAGATTTTGCAGCCATTCCTGGTACAGTTTCTGGGTGGGCTCTGGGGTGGGCGGCTGGTCCTGGCTTTGCAGAAGCTGCTCCTCTTGTGGCTGGAGCTGGCAGTTAGGGAGTAGGAGCGGCCATGCATCATCCTGGTGTTCAGGCCATTGGCCATAGAGAATGACTTAAGGTGGCTTCTTACGGCAACAGGGAGTGGGAGCTTGTCTACCAGGTGCACAGGTGTGCAGGACACCACAGCACGGCAGCAGAGGTCTTGCAAACTCAGTACTTGATAAAAGAAAAGAGAACCACGTACGTTATGTTTCCCATAATGAGGGATGTTTACAAGGGGAAGCCCCAAATCTGATTGCCTCCCAGGCCCTCCAGGAACTGGGAACCTCAACCAAGAGGCTGTGTCACTGATGAATGTAGCAAACCCTGTTCTGCCTCCACCTTTGCCCATGTACAGACCACACACACAAAAAAAATCTTCTCATGAGCTTTCTTCCAAAGCCGCAATAATTACTCCTTTCAAATACATTTGCTTTTTTAAAAAAATGAACATTTTATTTATGTATTTGTTTGTCTAATTGTGTGTGTGTATTTGTGTGTATGCACTTGTGTGTGCATGACACACCCTACACACAGAAGTCAAAGGCCCTCCATGGAGATTCCAGGGATCAAATTCAGGTTGGCAGCAGGTACCTTTCCCCACTCAGCCATTTCGGAGCCACTAAATGATTGGATTTTTGAGAATGGGCACAGAAGCCTTGAGAGAAGTCCTAGGAGGCAGACAGTCGTGCAGGGGCTATAGAACCACCTCCCATCTGATGGGCTAAGGGAGACTTGGACTGGCCCCCCTAGCATACCCTTGCTTGGCCTCCAGAGGCGGTCCATCCCATGCCGCAGCAGCACGATCCTGGCCAGCTCTGTGAAGGACTCTGTAATGTTGAAGTTGCACAGAGGGCTAACCTCAAAGAAGGTCACACCCAGGCGCTCGGCGTAGGCCTGGGCCTGTTCTGTGGGCACCTGCCGCTTGAATGCCAGATGCAGCCGGTTTCCCACCAAGATTTTAGGAACCCCAGGGGCATGCTAGAGCATGAGAAAGGCAAGGAAAACGGGTTGAGTGGTGTACCCCTACAAATTCATGTCCACCCAGAACTTCAATGGTACCCTATTGCAAATATGGTCTTTGTGTACGCAATAACTGAAGGTGAAGTCTTACTGAATTGCAAGGGTAAGGGAAATATTTTAATGGCAGGTGTCCTCATACGGGGAGGAGAGGACACAGAGGGGGCACAGGGAAACGCCATGTGATAAAGCAGAATGACTGCCAAGGGTAGCTGCAACCATCAGACGTTGGGATAGGCAGGAAGAGTCTTGTCCTGGAGCTTTTGGAAGAACACGGCTCTACCAATTTCTGTCCCCCAGGACTTGGAGGAAATTAATACTGTTTTAAAACACTCGACCTGTGGTACTTTATTAGGAAGGCCACAAAGCCGGCACCAGCAAGCTTGGTGCTCACCCACCAGGTCTCAGCCAGCAGCTGGGCAAGCAGCAGCTCCATCACTGCCCACTCACCCCTCCCTCCAGCTGGGAACCTGGATGCCTGAGTAGAGGCACAGCAGAGCCCAGCTTCCCGAACCCTAGGGTCCCCGGGTCACACTGTTGGGTCCAGCTGTAAGGTAAAGTATTCTCCCTGTTGTTGAACCTCTGGTCAACAGCCACATGGGTCAATCCCTGGCCAATGCCTTCTATCATACCTCATCAATCTCCTTAATCCATCGGTTGATGCCATCGAAGGACCATCGGTTGGCAATGTCATAGACCAGGATCACACCCTGGGAGCAAAGCCACAAAGATCAGCACACAGAAGAAGTCCAGAGATTTGCAGAGACAAAACTATTTTTAAAAATCAAGACAGTATTTCATTGTGTAGACGAGGCTGGCCTGGAACTCACTAAGATCACCTGCCTCTGTCTCCCAAGTGTTGGAATTAAAGTTATATGCCCCTTTGCCTGGTCCCTAACTAATCATTTTACATACTTTGACAAAAGCATATAATTTTGATTTTATCTATTCCTTATCGGAGTTATTATTTCCCATGATGCTTGACACACTCACTGATAGATGCTTAAATAAAAAGCTGACCTAGAGGCTGGAACTCATATCCATAAGCTTGTCTGGGGCATAGGATATGGGGACATTGCCACCTAATGCAAATGCAAAGTGGACACATGGACATACTTTTACATAGATAAGAAGCTCAAATACAGATATTCACATGTACACACACACACACATTCAGGCCCTCATGAGAACGCATGCCTACCCACGGCATCTGGATGCTGAAGAAACATAAGCCACCAGATTATAGCACATGACCTGCATAAGTTTATATATAGGCTTAGCTTATCTTCTAGTTCCGCCATAAAGAAAGTGGCTGAGTAAGAATCCATAAACGCTATTTTTCAAAATCAATTTTATCTCCAGTTCCGGAATGCGGTTTACCTGTGCGCCTCTGGAGTACGAGCGGAATATGGTACAAAATCTCCCCTGCCCTGAGGTGTCCCTGGAAAAGACGTTGAAGACTGTTAGGAGGAAACTGGTGTTTCTTCTTGATGATCACCTTCTTAAACTTGGAGCCACAGCAAGTACCTTTTACAGTCTTTGTGCTGGTGGCCATTACCTGCCAATCCAAGACAAAGCCACCACAAAGCCATTTGAATTTTTCTGGAGAGACCTTGGCACTGCATTCTCTATGGTGTGTGTGTGAGTTTGTGTCTGTGTCTGAGCACAAGCCATGATATATGTGTGAAGGCTGAGGACAATTGTGGGAGCCTGTCCTCAATACTGAGGATCAAACTCAGCTCGTCAGTCTTGGGGGCAAGCACCATTTCCCACTGAGCCATCTTGAAGGCCCCTGTTTTTTTCTTTTTTTGGTTTTTCGAGACAGGGTTTCTCTGTAGCTGTGGAGCCTGTCCTGGAACTAGCTCTTGTAGACCAGGCTGGCCTCGAACTCACAAAAATCTGCCTGTACTGCCTTCTTAGTGCTGGGATTAAAGGTGTGCACCACCACCGCCTGGCTCCCTAATTTGTTTTTTTTAGAAAGGTAGCCTCAGTCCCCTGAGCACTGGGATTTAAAAAGTGGACACCACCACACCTGGCTGTTGTTCTCAGACAGGGTTTCTTTATGTAACCCAGCCTTGACTCAAACTTAAAATGATCCTCTTGCTTCCTGCTCCCAGTGATGAGATATGTGCTACCAAGCCTGTCTTAAATATGTTTTTACAAAAGAGATTTGTTTGTTTTTATCAATGTGTACCTATGTCTGTGTGAGATTTTGTACACTAGGTGAATGCTTCAAAGACCAGAAGAGGGTATCAGAGTCTCTGGACCTGGAGTTACTTGTTAACCTTGAGCCACAGGTAGTGCTAGGGACCAAACCCAGGTCCTCTGGATGAGCAGCAGGTGCTCTTAATACTGACATATATCCACAGTCCCTAATATGTGCTTTAAAAGTCAATCTAGAACCAGGCTTGGGGACACATGCCTTCAATCCCTACACTCTAGAGGCAGAGACAGGCAGATCTCTAAGAGTTCAAGACCAGCCTGGTTTATACAACAAGTTTCACCACCCAGGGCTACATAGTGAGACCCTATCTCAACAAAACAAAAAGACTAGAAACCTAAGAGTGGGTTTTAACTTTATTCTCAAAGGCAGCGGAGTGTCGTAGCGGAAGAGTGCTGGTCCCATAACATTATCCTCAGAAATTTAAGTAAACCTAACTTAAGTTTTAAAGGTTATTTTAAGGTTAGGGATACTGGTGCGGGAGAATTGTCTGTATTCTGTCAATCGTGTTTTAAATAAATGCTGATTGGCCACATCAGAGGTGTAGGCAGGAAAACCAGACAGGAAGTGGAAATAATGCAAGGAGAGCAGGAGAATTCTGGGAGGAGGAAGTTGATTCCTCCCTCTCCTGCCCAGATCACTGAAGCAGCAGGATGTGAGCTGCCCCACTGAAAAAGGTACTGAGCCACATGGCGAACGTAGATCAGAAAAATGGGTTAATCAAGATGTGAGAGTCAGTGAGAGGCTAGAGCTAATGGGCCAATCAGCTTTATAACTTATAGAGATCTCTTGTGTGATTTTTCATTGGGGCTAAACAGGCTGGGGGAACCGGGCGGGACAAAAACCCACAAACAAGCAGGCCCGGCCCCCTCATGTTACAGGATATAGCTTGGTGGTAGTATATTTCCCTCACAGAAGCAAGGCACTGGGTTCGATCTCTAGCACAGAATAAACTTTTTCAGTGATTATGCAAGATAGATCCTTCTTTGATACCCAGTTGCTCCAGAAGCAGATCCTCCAGATATGTCTCCGCAGATGATGACACACACACCAGGAATGCGGTTCTCAGGCCAGGCCAGCATACTAAGAAACTACAGGAAGCAGGAAGGATGTTCCCAGAGTGGGTTCCCGGCATTGTGCACTCACTGTGGTAACTCTCCAGGGAAGGTGCACTGATCCTTCGGGACACACAGCTGCACAGACTGCTGATATGCCCACTTCAGCATTCCTCCTGGGAATGCAGAGTTTCTGAAGGCCACACACACACACACAGTGTGTTTCCACAATGCCCATAGAACAGGCATGTTTCTGCTGTGTATCATCTGTAGCTGGTGACGATCCCAACATCCAAGGGGAGTGCTGGGGCTGAGGAAGGGCAGGAGCTGGAGCATTGTTTTTTTGTCAGAGACATGGGAAGGACTAGCTCACTGTTCTGAGAAGTAGTCCAAGATTTAAGGACCAGCCTCAACAGAACCTGTGTGGAAGCCACTAGAAACTCCGTGATGCTGAGAGCCCTGTACACGGGAGGAGAGATGTGCTGGAGGCTGGCAGGAGGCCTGGCCTTGGATGTCAGGGAACTGGAGGGGAAGTGTGACTGTGCAGAGGGGTCAGTGTGGACACAGCCACCGAAAACACCCAAGAGAGGCCTCAGGTTGTACAGGGACTGGGGTGGGTTTTTATTTTGGTTTTGTTCAAGATTTTAGTTATTTTTATTTTATGTGTACGGGGCTTTGCCTGCAGTTGTGTCTGTGAGCCACATGTATGCAGTGCCCAGGGAGGCCAGAAGAAGGTGTCATAACTCTGTAACAAGTTATGGATGTTTGTGAGCCACCATGTAGGTTCTGGGAATCAAAACCAGATCTTCTGCAAGAGCAGCCAGTGCTCTTAACTGTTGAGCCTCCTCTCTTAACAGCTGGGTTTGGCTCTGAGCATGGGAGAGTTCCTGAGGCCTCTGGAGGAGTGCAGTAAAATGGGCTTGACTTCCTGAAAAATGTCAGCAGTAGCTGGAGGTTCAGAAAACACCAATTCCACTGTGAAGTTAGGCCATGCACACTGCTATAGACTCAGAATCTTTTTTTCTTCATTTTTTTGAGACAGAATTTCTTTGTGTAGCTTTGGAGCCTGTCATGGCACTTGCTCTGTAGACCAAGCTGGTCTCAAACTCACAGAGATGCCCTTGTCTCTGCTTCCCGAGTGCTGGGATTAAAGGTGTGCACCACCATCACCTGGTTAAACTCAGCATCTTGAGACAGAGCCAGGGGACTAGAGGTGCAACCTCAGATGTATCTCCCTAAATGTTGTAGAATATTATTTTAAGGTGTGTTACATTTGTTTATGCTCTGGAACATTTGTCTTTAACAATGTTAAGATTATTTTAAGGTGTGTTACATTTGTTTATGCTCTGGAACATTTGTCTTTAACAATGTTAAGATTATTTTAAGCTGTGTTGCTTTTGTTTATGCTGCATTTGTTTAACTCTGTGAAGCTGTGATTCTTTGCCTGTCTAAAACACCTGATGATCTAATAGAGCGTTGAATGGCCAGTAGCAAGGCAGGAAAGAGGATAGGCAGGGTTGGCAGGCAGAGAGAATACATAGAAGAAATCTGGGAAGGAGGGCATCGCAGGTCAGCCACCCAGCAACACAGCAAGCCATGGAGAAAGAAGTAAAGAAAGGTACGCAGAAATGAGAAAGATAAAGGCCCAGAGGCAAAAGATAGACAGGAAAACCTAGCTAGAAACAAGCAAAGCTAAGACCGGGCTTTTACAAGAAAGACTAAGACTCTGTGTGCAATTTATTTGGGGGCTGGGTGGTGGGTGCCCCGAAAGAGTAAAGAGCTCAGAGAGTAAAAACAACTACAATTTGGTATTCCAGCGAGAACACCCAAAGGTCAAGGGAGCTCAGGATGGAGAATGAGCCCCAAGTTCCCAGGTTCAGGTCCTAGAGAATGAGGAGCACAGGCACTGTTTAGCTGAACTCAAGACAGGTGTGGTGCCTGCCGGGAAGACCAGAGAGATCTGTAGCCCAGGTGATCAACAAGGCCCCTAGCCTTGGAACCAGGACACCGTGAGCTCCGTTCTGTACACTCAGAACTGGGGCTGGGAGACCTGGGCTGTCCTGGCCACTCTTCTTCTGTCTCTGACAGCACCCGGTGAAGCGAAACAGGAAGCAGGTGACAACCAGGTGTCTTCTACCAACAAGCGCTCTTTCTCGGACACATCCTAGGTGCACATCCCTTAAATAATGGACTCAGACAATCGGGTCAACATCTCTAGGGAAAAGCCATCAGATCCAGCTAGGACTAAAGCCATCAGCTCCAGCTAGGTTCCAGGGGTAGAGCATCCCGACTGGCACAGCCCCCAACTCACCAAAGCTGCAGTTTCACTCTTCGGCCATCCAGCAGGATGGTGGTCGTCTTGTGATCAATTCCTGGAAAAGAGTCGAAGACATATTAGGTTTGGGGCTGGATGTGTTTCCTCAGCCATCACCCATAACAGAACTATCAAGTACGTGGAACCCTTGCACCGAGAGAGAAAAGGGTTTCTTGTCCTACAGCTTCAAGTTCACAGCAGGTTGAGATCTCCGAGGATTCCCTTGGACCCCAGACTGGCCTCCCGGTGGACAACCACTCAGATTCAAACCCTCTGGCATCCAGGCTGGCCTTGAACTCAGAGATTATTCATCTGCATCTTCCTCTCTAGTGCTGGGATGAAAGGCGTTGACCACCACCACCAAACTGAATTCAGGTTCTAATGCCTAGTGGCAAAAGCCTTTACCTGCTGTTCCATCTCACTAGTGTCCCCCAAAGGGGTGTGTGTGTGTGTGTGTGTGTGTGTGTGTGTGTGTGTGTATTGCGCTCCTGTGCTTTGCTGGGGATGGAACTCAGGGCCTCACAAATGCTAGGTCACTGTTTTATCAAAGGACTGCGTCCCAGACTCCCCCAAACTTTAGGTTTGGTTTGGTTTTTGAGACAGGTCTCCGTCCCTCCTTCCCTCTCTCTCTCTTTCTCTCCCTCTTCTCTCCCATAACCCACTAAATATATCCAACCTCACTCTGCATGGCGTGCCTATCCATGTCTCTGTCTCCTGCCTGCGTAGTTCCCTGCCTGGGACCAGCTGCCAACCAGTGAGACACTGTTTTTGTTTTGTTTTGTTTGGGTTTGGGTTTTTCCAGACTGGGTTTCTCTATAGCTTTGGCTGTCCTGGCACTCATTCTGTAGACCAGGCTGGCCTCAAACTCACAGAGATCCACCTCTTTCTGCTGGGATTAAAGGTGTACCCAGCCTGAAAACTAGATCTTGTGTGAGTTGGGTGTACAACTTGGCCATGCTTCTTTTGGTCTTACATTAAAGGAACAGCCCACTCAGTGCAGTCCCCTGGAGGAATCTAGAGGTCTGGATTTAAACTACAAGTTCCCAGTACCAGGCTAAGTGCTGCAGCTCCATCTCCAGAGTGCAGACCACAGGAAGACAGGAAGAAGCTCATGTGTGAGTTCCACTAGGTAGCTCCTCCCCCGGTCTACAGGGAGAGAAGATCCCTCAGAAGTTGAGATCTCTGTACTCTGGCTCTATGTGGATAGAACAGTGGTTGAACCAGTCCTGATCACACAGCACCATGGGGCTGGAACTCTTTCTGAACCCACCGACCAGTTCGTTTTACCCCACTGTACATTTCCCCAGTGTCAGTTACAGATCCCCTACCTCAGCCTCTGGTGCCACACTCCCTCAGTTTCTGGTCTGACTCCTTTATCCAGGTCCCAGTTCCTGCCCTCTCAGTTCTCTGACATTCCGTGTCTCTGTGTCAGGTACTGAGTCCCTATCTGTCTCCTGTTAAGCTGACATTCTGTCCACAGGAGAGAGTTCATCATGCCAGTGGAAGGTAAGTCAGTGGAAGAATGAAATCCCACTCCTTAGAGAGGGATGCCTCTGCTTCTCTCTCTCTCTTTTTAAATTATTCTTACTTTATGAGCATTGGGGTTTTACCTGCATGTATGTCTGCGTGAGGGCATCAGATCTTGGAGTTACAGACAGTTGTGAGGTGCCATGTGGGAACTGAACCCAGGTCTTCTGCAAGAGCAGTCAGTGCTCTTAACCTCTGAGTTATCTCTCCAGCCTGCCTCTGCTGTTCTTCTTGAGAAACTTGGTTGGGGTCAGTAGCACAGCACCTCCTAGCCCATTAGTGAGAATGCACAAAGATGCTGGCATGCCTGGGACTTTGATCATTCCTTGACCTGGCCTGTCTCACCCCTGACAACCCCTCCCCCATTTCTCCACCTTTGTGTCCTTTTGACCTTCTCTCAATGTCTCTTGTCTTTGTCTAGTTCCTAGCCTGGACCTTTAAATCCATGGAGTTCCCAGGACTATCACGCATGGGTGTTCTGCCGTGATCAGTAGTAAAGCATCCAAAGTCTGACATACATACAAGTAGAATGTGGATGGGGTTAACTGTGAGGATGTTTCTTTTCCCTGGAATGCTAAGGGTTTTTCACTCTCTTCACGAATCTATGAATAAACACACTTGGAAATCTATTTTGAATGTGGAAATAATAATTCTGACCTCAGGATGTCTGTCTCCAGACAAGCAGAGTACCAACCCTTCACAGGCTGGAGGACATATCATTTTGGTCTTTGAGGAGTCTGACACATGCGTAGGCAGGCTGACTCTTCCAGCCTTGAAACATCCTTTGGTTCAGTCATACTTACAAACACATTTGATCCATAAGGACTGACTGCACATATGAGGGAGGTTCCGTAAGATTACTTCTCCTAGCGAGGCAGTGGTTGCACACGCCTTTAGTCCCAGCACTCGGGAGGCAGAGGCAGGAGGATCTCTGTGAGTTTGAGGCCAGCCTGGACTACAGAGCAAGTTCCAGGACTGACTCCTTAGCTACTGAGAAACCTTGTCTCAAAAAACAAACAAAAAGATTACTTCTTCTAGTAAGTACCACTTACTAGAACATTGTACCACTCTGTGTGGTCATGCCCTAGGATATTCCCACAGTGAAAATTGGCTAGTGATGTATTCTTTAAAATGTGTTCTGTTACTAAATGGCACTAGGCCGTACTGTAACAAATATAACAATATGGGAAGAAGTTTTTAAGCACTTACAAATTTTATTACATTATTTGTGAGAGACAATGTATCTGGTCACACACAGGAGCCATAGCCTGTGTGGAAGGTTAGAAAAAAACTTGCAGTAGTCCACTCTTTCCTTCCACCATGTGGGTTCTGGAAATGAACTGAGAGCATCAAGCTGGTGGCTGTCATCTTTACCCACTGAGCCATCTCACTGGCCTACCTACAGCCCCCATACCTTCCAAGCTTTATAAAAGAGAACAAGATTTGGCTTTTGTTTTCATCAAAGTAATCCTGAGACCCAGTAGAAACATCACAGGCCATCCTACCCTACCTGTGTCCCATTCCCTATTTAAATATTTTGTTCCCCTCAGTAATTATTTTGTCAATTTTTTGACTGAGATAAGACCTCATAGTCCAGGCTAGCCTTGACTTTGATATGTCCTTTAGCTTGCTTTGAACTCCTGATCTCCCAAGTGTTGAGATTATAGATGTGTCCCACCACATTCGTAAAATTGTTTTGGTTTTTGTTCAGTTGTTTTTTGAGACAGAGTCTTCGTGTGTAGCCCAGGCTGGCCTCAAAATTATGGCAACTCCTGCCTCCACTTCCTGTGACTCTAAGCATGTGCTAGCATGCCTACCCATATTTTAATCTTTATTAACCATTACTTTGCTATATTTCTCCAAATTTTTACTAACTTAAGTTCTTGACTTCTGAATTTGCAGTTTGCAGAATAAGGGGGATATGATACAGAGATGAATACTTCGCATTGGTATGAATCTTGGTCTATTGATATGTTTTAAGGTTTAAATACTGTGTATATGTATTTCTGTTCTTGTTTAAGGTATTATGTTTGTGTAGCTCATTGAAAAATGTAATGTATAATTAGGAAATACAGATTAATAGATAGTCATCTACAATAGTCAAACTATAGTCATGTTATTAGGTTTTCTAAATATACACAGATATTTTTCAGTTACACATATAATCTTCAACCCTTCAAAGACTTACAGAATATGGCATTTAAGATATTTTAAGAACTTAGACTTCTCAATAGTGAGACATGTCTGTTTTGGGCAGCAATTACTTCAGAGAGGCTGATGGGCATTGAAGAAGCTCATTATGGAATTTGCCTTCAGTGTGACAAGGCTAGCCATTTGGGCAAGAAACTGTTCTTTCCTGAATTTCTTGATGGCATGCTGTATGAACTGGACATGCAGGACCCACAGAAAAGTAACTGCTGAATTTTCCAAAAGACAGGATGATCCTTCAGGGTTTCTGCTTCATAAAAGAAACTGCTGGACATTTGGTAGGACACAAAAGAAAGTGTCTGACAAACTGCCAATAGAAGCAAAACAGTTTCAAATTTCCTGCTTCATGGAAAAGTCTGTCGGATACTATGGGCCTGTAGGCTGAAGATGGATGCCCCAATATTACAGAAGAACTTTGGGTGACTATCCAGGCAGTGAGATGTTTCTATCAATTTTAGAGTTTTGAAAGTTGCTTACAATGCACTTCCTGTTTACTTAGATAATATTATATCCTTCTGGAGTCTTTGATGGAGTTGAAGGCAAATAGTTATAGTTATAGTTTTCCTTATTTATGGTAAAGGATAAATTAGATATAAAACTTTAGACTCACAAAGATAGGATAGACATAAATGAACTAAATAGTATAGCTATAATTTTTGTTTGATAACTGTTTTGTATATGTAATTTTATTATGTTAAAGTTAAAACCTTCCTTTTTATTTAGACAGAAAAGGAGATGATGTGGATCCCCTCTGTATGCTGTGAATGTGTTTTATTACCATTGGTTAATAAAGAAGCTGCTTCAGTCTGTGGCAGGGCAGAGATATAGAGAGAGTAGGCAGAGTCAGGGAGATACCATGTAGCTGCTGAAGAAGGACATAACGGAACTTTACCCAGTAGGTCACAGCCTCATGGCAATACACAAAATAATATAAATGGCTTAATTTAAGATGTAAGAGTTAGTTAATAAGAAGCCTAAGCTAATAGGCCAAACACTATTGTAACTATTATAGTTTCTGTGTGATGATTCAGGTCTGGGCATCTGGGAAATGAATAAACAGTCTCTTACTACAAATAGACCCATGTTCAAGGGATAGAACAAATCCTGAAAGTTGCTCTCTGATCTCAGAGTAGATACCATGGAACGAAATGCCTACACACACACACACACACACACACACACACGCACACGCTCAACTTCCTGTTTATATAAATCTACTGTCAGAATCTTCCTGCCTGTCCCTTGAGAATGGGGTCCTCCAGTGTTTATGATGTCCTTGGTTCTGTCTTGAGGAGGATGCATGGAAGGTAAATGTGGAGATGT